TTAAATAAAGAAAAAAATTAATAAATTGGATCACAAAAATAAGTGGCAAAATGAGGGGGGGGCTTGCCATTTACTTACAAAGAAGTCTCTGACTCTGTAGACAGTGACCTCAGAAATAACCAGAGGCCTCCAGTCTTTGAAGCGTATCCTTTTCATAGTGTAATATTGCCACCTAGTGGTCACAAGCAACTTCCCTGCTTGATCCAGGAAATTTTCTAGCTAAATATGTTCCTGGGAATCACCATCTCTCCAGAATTTTTCCTTTCTCTATCAAGATAATCTGGGGGGTGATTCTCTAACATATAATGGGTACTCACACTTGTCAAATAAATGTATAAACAGAAGGGCAATTGAACTTCATACCCTGGTTTCACTCACTCACCTAATGGTGATTGAAAGAGAAAATTAAGGAATTCTTTCAGATTCCTTTGGACTCTAAAGGGTCTTCAAACATCTCTATCAAAAGTCGAGAGGGGTGTGTGTGGCGGGGGGGGTGTGTGTTTGTGTCTGACCTCAGTTTAGCAAACAATTCCTTTAAGTGCATTTGAATATAATGATAAATTTTTTTATGAAATTTTTTTAAAAGATTTATTTATTCATGCATACACGAACCAGGATATAGGCTAGATGTGCGGGAGGATGAGAGGATTCACCAGAGACAGAGCAGGGAACAGAACAGGCAGACTGACAGAAATACACTGCTGAGGGGAGCAGCGGGCGAGACAGGAGAGGTCTGCCACGCCACGTGGGTACTGCCGCAGCCGGCTGGGGTCCAAACTGCACTGCAGAGGCTGCGGACAGCTTCATAGCACTCGGCCCAACTGCCTGCACCACCAGAGAGGCTCTATAATGATAAATTTTTAAGGGTCACAACTACTATGACCTACCAAGGGAGCACTCCGCACCCAAAACCAACAAAGAATAAAGTCTGTTATCACAGATGTCAGGGCTAATAACAAAACCAAAGACTGGTTGGCTCAGTGAGGATGCAAGCATGGATGAAGGCTATCTGGAGTCTCATCAACTCCACTCCCCCACACTGGTCAAACTGGGTCAGAAATCATTGAAAATTATGCTCAGAAAACCATGGTGACCCAAACCCCAAAGGCTTATTCCTAGAAGGCATCACCAAAAAAAAAAAAAACCAAAAACATATAAAAGAAACTAGAGGCTAGTTTCCCGGGAATATAATGCTAAGTATTCCAAAAGGCTAAGTCTTAAATCATCTTGTCTGTTTAATTGCATAAAGAAAATTTCTAAGCACTTCTGGTTGGCGTCTCCTGGCTCTCAGGCCTTAATTCTCTGGACTCGTATGACCCAGAAGTTGGGGGAATGGCAGTTAGCAACAGTTACCTGAATCCTCCTCTCTTGGAACATTGGGAGGCTAAAGTCCGGGAATCTGGAGATCTCCTCCCCATCAGTCAATTATCTTCTACGTGGCCTTCACCTTCCTTTCTGATTAAATCTGTCCCTGTTAAATCAGCTGTGCATTAGAGAGAGAGACAGAGACAGAGAGACATCAGAATACAGTGCTGAGAAGTAAGGGCCCAAGTTCTAAGTCCACTCCCATTCACTTAATGGCTCTTGATTTCTGGCAAATTACTTACCCGCTCCATCAAGACCATCAGGTAGTGCTAAGACTGCAGACCTGCTTATATTGTAGTCTTCATAGGGGGCCTGCTTATATTGTAGTCTTCATAGATTTGTGTATTCTTTGAGGTAATTTCTCAGCAAATGGTTATAAAATACCTTAAGAGGTACCTTTTCTCTCATTCACTCAAGGACCAGAAATGGGTTACTACCAGGCTATAATCTGAGCCTGTGTCTCAATATATAAAATGGAGACAATCCACATTTGTATAGAGAACCTACTGAAAAACCAACCAAAATAGCAGGTTTAAAGCACCTTTAACTGTACCATGGAATAAGATACTTCCCTAAATTTTGTTTGCAATTATCCCAATTTGAGGAGCTAATGTAACAGAAGCGAAAAAGGTTTCAGTCTGCAAATATTTTTCTTGCCTTTGAAAACAGGAGCAAAGGTCATTCAATAAAAATATCTTCTTCTTCAGAGTATGTCATGATTCTGAAAGTAACTCTGTACCCATCAACAGGATTTAAAAGAATGTGACAATTTCTGACAATTGCATTACTACATAAAGTAGTTGAACTGTTTACAAAAATAGTTGGAACTTCTCTGAGTATTTAGACAAAGTGAGCAAAGGAAAGCTAAGCCCTCTCCCCACCTCAACCCTGCTACTGACCATTAGGAGACAGGTTTGTTCAGGTGCACAGAGCTGAAGGCAGGCTAAGGACAAGTGAAAAAAAGTTGTAAATTTTTAAGTTGGCCCACAGAAGCCATTCTTCAAAGTAATGTATATTTGAGAAATAGTTATTTTCGGGAAAACAGCCCATATAACACCTCTTCAATTCCTCCCACCACGAAGAGTTGGCTAAGTATAGTTTAGTCTAGTAACACTACTGATGTCACATCATTTTTCATTTGGCTCAGAAAAGAAGAAAAATGAGTAGGCAACACATCTAGCTTTCTAATTTGGTCATCCTTGAGACAATATTTAAAAGGAGTTCACATTTAATCTGACTTTCTCCCAGGAACTCTACTTTGGGTAACCAAATAATTGATGAGGACTGTTTCTCTTTATAAAAAACCTCAGGCCCAGTGCAAAGTTCCACTCCTGGCATAAGAGTATAAGGAGCTCCACAAACTGCTCTCCAGTGTGTACCAGTGAAACTGGTGACCATTATTTTTTAAAGTTTTTTTAAGCTATTTAGAAAAAAAACAATTCATGAAGTTGACCAAAACGATGTAAATTCGAGGATCTGCTTCATTTCACTTAAAGTTGCAGTTTCCAAGAAGCTATGGATGTTAAGTGAGAATTCAGTGCATCTCTATTCATAAATACCACAATCTCCTAGAAAGAATATCCTAAGAAAACCCTGAAAAACTATTAGAATAATAAACAGGTTTCACAAGGTAGCAGGTTCTAGGCTCAATATACAAAAATCAGCAAGGTGGGCCTCCCTGGTGGTACAAGGGGTTAAGACACAACCTATGAAGCTAACTGCAGCCACTGCAGCACGAGTTCTATCCCTGGCCAGGGAGCAGCCCACATGGCGCAGCAGGCCTCTCCTGACCTGCCCGCAGCTCCCGCAGCAGTGTATTTCAGTAGATCTGCCTGTTCTGCTCCCCACTCTGTCTCTGGTGAATCCTCTCACACACACACCCCCACACCGCTGGCCTGTAACCCCATTCTTGTATGCATAAATAAATAAATCTTTTTTAAAAAATCAGCAAGGAACATCATCAATCACTGAGATGAGGGAAGAGACCCCCCAGACATGCTTCCTCATGGACACACATAATGCCATCTATGAAGTGTTCTTGCCCCCAAAAATCTTTTTTTTTTATTAAAAAAAGAACCCTGGTTTTTAACAGTTTTGATCATTAAAAAAGTTTAAACCTATATAACAATCATTTCAAAAATTAGTTAATGTTTCATAATTAAACTGTACACAACCTACTCTTAGGACAAAGAAGCCAGTGAGGTGAGTTTGGTGCAGTCCAGAGCAGTCCCAGAAGCCAGGAGGTGAGTTCCCATTGGCATTTTGCTTTTTGTCATTCTGTTGATCTAAGTTTATTTGGATACTTGGCACAATATGGCTCCACGGCTGAGCGGATCTGCACTGGGAAGAGAGGGCAGCTTGACCCCCGTCCCTTCTCGCTTCCCCTCCCTTACTTGGCCGATTCCTCAAAGTCACTCAATGTCTCAGTATTTCTTCCTCAGAATAGAGACCTGGTCCAGCCTCATCTGAGAGTAGATCAGCAGCCTCCAGATGTACGTAACAGTTTATCGGACTAAAGAGCAGAGAAACATGTTAAAGAATATATGGGGAGGCAGACTGAGAAGTACCATTCAAGTCTGTGGCTCAATCTTGTCTTCTCATCCCATCCTGACTGGGAAAGGCCACATGTGGAGATACCCCAGTTCACATGTCAAAGCTCCAGCCACATCCCCTCTAAATAGCCTCTCCTTGGGTGCCTCCAATCCAGCAGTGTACAGGCAGGTGGTGCAATCACTCTGGGAAGGATGGACCCAAGAAGGGGGTCCACACAGCCATGGACACACAGACTCTACCTTTCAGGTAGAGAATTCCAAGGATTTAGGTAGCAAGAGTAAAGTCTAGAAAGGAAGACACAGGCTCCAAATGGGGGTACATCCCGTGGCCTGCAGGTTTCTCTCCTGGTGAGGAGGGGAATGGCCAGGAGCAGGCCAGCATGGGACTTTTTATTTATTATTTATTTACTTACTTACTTACTTACTTTGTGGGACCCTCACCAGCGGCCGGGGAACGAACCTGCGCTGCAGAGGCTGCGGGCAGCCTCACAGCCCAGTGCTCAACCGCTGCACCACCAGGGGAGGCCCCAGCGTGGGACTTTTCAAATGATGACGCCCAGGGCAAGGGTTCATATTTCCCAAATTTAAGACACTAAGTAACTGAGAGTCTCCTGTTATTATCCCCTTCACTTCTATGCAACTTTGAAATTTTTCTATATTTAAGGATAAAAACATGAAAAAATTATTCTAAAAGCCAAGTTCAAGGTTACCTGAATTCTAAATCTTGATGAGCCTCATGAAAACTTTCCTTCATACTCTAACTTAGAAACTGAAAGCTCTTTCAGGTTAATAAGAATCCATACCACACACATGGAAATATTATACACAACAACATATGTACATGACACAATGAGTTAATATGCCACACATATACACAAAACACAATGAACATTATTGATAATGATGGCAATGCCATTCCCCAAAGAAACCATTTCCAGAGACTGAGAGGAAAAACCAGAAACGTAGTAGAGGCCCCCACAGGCCAAATTCATTTTCCTACAATTGGAAATCTTTCAGAGTTTCAGTGAGGAGATAAAAGGGACCAAGAAAACAGATACCAAGAAATAGCTCTTCCCCTTCTCCCGGAAACAAAGAATGAGTCTTTTGATTTAGCAGCAACAATGTTTAATCATTAAAATTATCCTGGCCCTAACAGAAGAGAAACTATCTAAGGTTAAAATGGGCAGGGCTTTCCTCCCTCGTTTATTTTAGAGGCAAGTAGAAGTGAATGAAACAAACAGAATTCCAAAGCTCAGCTCCTGGTATAGACTCCAGGGAGTATTAGTCCCTTCTCCTTTTCTGCCTTTAGTTCAAGTTCACTATACTGAACGTTCCAGGCATTCTGCTCCAAAATAAGGCTCTTTCCTGGGGTCCTCTGCCGGGCCCGCCATGAGCCCTCTGCCTGCCCCTCTATGAGGCCTTCTTCCTGCTCTTCCCTGAGGACCTCTGCCTGTTCTTCCCTGAGGCCCTCTGCCTGTCCTCCCTTAAGGCCTCTTCCTGCCCCTCCATGACGCCTTCTGCCTGCCCCTCCGTGACGCCTTCCGCCTGCCCCTCTGTGACACCTTCTGCCTGCCCCTCCATGACACCTTCTGACTGCGTCCCCAAAGTCCCTTCACTCTCTTCCTCTGAGGTTTGGTTCTCCTCTTCCTGATCAGTGGCCTGAAGAATCCTCAGCAGCTTGAGCTCAGGGTTCCAGGTTGTTGTCTTCACATAAGATGAAAAGTCCACTGGGGTCTTCTTTTGGCCTTCCAGCACAAACTCCATCTGAGTGCTGATGCCCCTGTTCATGGGTTCTATTCTGGGTAATTCAGGATCTAAAAGAAAACCCAAGCATTCACTGTACCCATAGTCTCCCCACAGATGACTGTGACAAATGGAGGACAGAAAGAGAAGGACCCTTCTGAAGGATGCGGACTGCGCCCTCCAGAAAGGCGAAACATCCTGGTCAACACCATTTAGCTCTCCCTGTCCTCAGTCGCTTACTAAGTTTCCTCTGCCCTAGTCACTTACTCTCCTTACTGGGGACAGAGTCTAGGCAGGTCTCAGTGTAGTTCCTCTGCAGTCTCTCTGTGGAACCCTGAAAAGCATTAGAGAAGCATAAGGCAGCTTGAATCAAGACTTTAGGAAATCCTAAAAATCCAAGAGGATTTTTCTGAAAGATGATTTTCTTGGGGAAATTAAGATCTAAGACAGGACAAAAAGCCACCTCCTGACACTAAAGAGAAAAACTTGTATCACACATTCTCTGTATCCAGGTTGACCAGATGAAGCCATACCCACTTTTCCTCATGCCCAGCTGTCAGCTAAGGGGAGACACCTCCGGAGGTGCTGCCAACAGTTCCTCCCATTCCTGTATCCACATGCTGTGCCTGCCATCAAAAGAGGAATCGATTTCTTCTTCTCTTGAATCTGGGCTAGTGATTTTCTGACCAATAAATGTGGCAGAAATGACACTGGTTCCAGGTTCAGGTCCATTCCCTAAGAAAGTGCCTGTGTGAAATTGCTATGCTATCAAGAAACCCAAAGTAGCCACATGGAAAGGCCTCATGGAAGAGAACTAAGGTAAATTGGCCAAGGGCGCCAGCCCAGGCTCCAGCTGAAGGGAGCTCATTGGGTGACACCAAGCAAGACCAAAAAAGCCACAGAATCATGAGAAACAGCAAACCATCAGAACTTTGGGCTTTGGGGTGGTTTGTTATACAGGAATAGAGAACTGAAACAGGACCCTAGCAGAATGGCCCTGGAATATGCTCACCAGTTTTAAGATGGGCCCTCTGATCTTCTGCTTCTGCTGCTTTTCATTACTTTCCCAATCTTGTAGAGTTCCATGACCTAGTGACCACAAAGAAGTCAATTCTTGTTGACTTATTGGCATGTCCTATGCCATTGTTGGGTTTCTAGTTAACCCTTAGGCTACAAGTGACTCCTTACCCAGGCCAAGACCTTAAAAACAAATGAGAAGGACTTAGGCCTTTTGACTTCTATTTGTGATTCTGTTCCCTGGAACTATGACTCTATCACAGACTTAGAGATTAAGGTCAAATGTGTGTTAAAAGACCCAGGATTCCTCCAAGAAAGAAGTAGGCACCTTCACATCATACAGGCAAAAGAAACCTTAACTCTACCGTCTCAGTTTAGGAATATTCTCCTTACTTTCTTGCACCATTTCCAATGTACACTTACTGGCTTCTGAAGACCCCCCAACCACTAAAAAAAAAAAGAGAGAGAAAAAAAAACACAACTCAAGTTTTGTAAGTCTTTTGCATCAGCTTTTTCCCCTAACTGGTTGCTAAATACATTCATTCATTACTTTCTCAATTTCCCTTTCTTTACACATTGTCCAAACTGCTACCAGATGTATTATGCTAAAAATGGTAAAGCCAATCAAGGAACTCCTTTGCACAACACTTCTGTGACCCCTACTAGCACTGGTTCTCTCCTCTGCTGCAAACCAGCAGTGCTAGGGAGCTCTAAGAAACACTGAGGCCTGGGTCTCAACATCTAAATCAGGATTAGTAAGTTCTGATTTACTAGGTCCCACCTTTAGCCCAGGTATTCGTGTTTTAAAAGCTCCATGGCTGATTTCAGGTGCAGTCAAGTAGAGCAGCACAGAAGACAAAGAAATGTTTGTTAGCAGCTATGTAAGCCTGTACTTCCTCTTCGTCCTGATTTATCATTCTTCCTTAAATACCCAATCCCACAGCCACATGGATGTTCAGTGGTCCCTGAGCAGCCAAGCTCTTCCGAGATATCTTTGCACAGGCTATGTCCTCTCCAGGAATTCTCTTCCATAGCAGGAAACCTCTCCCACATATTCAAGATTCAATGCAAAAATCCTCACTTCCAGAAGGCCTTCTCAACTCTGTAAGGACAGGCCACTCATCCATGAACATGAGTCAGAGGGACACCCCAGTCACCCAACCAAAACTGCTCCTAATGGAAGCATCAGGAAGAGGAACAAAAGGCGCTGCAGCAGAATCCAAGGATCAATCACCCCCATAGGGTGCTAACTTCCCACCCTGGGACATATGGCCCTGGCTCTATCTCCCATGAAAGTAGAGCTTGTTCTTAGAGCTTCAGGTTAGAGAACACTGTTGGCATCAGAGAGTTCAGTGGAATGGGAATAAACCAAGAGAGCAACATCCTTGTCGGGAAACATGTCACCTGAGCCCTCTCAGTGCCCCAGGTTTGGAGAGTGAATACTGATGATTAAACCATTATTGTCACATTACATCAGCAATCTCCAGTCTGAGCAGGGCAGAACAATCTTCTTAGGTTTAGGGGAATTCTTTTTCCCTTCTTCCCTGCTGCACTCAAGCTGAGAAAGGCCAGAAGGATCTTGATAAGTATATCCTCCAGCTCAGGTATGAAAAGCCCTCCTAACAGGGAGATACCCATTCTCATTTCCAGCATAGACACTAGAGGAAAAGGATTTTCTGTGAAGAACCAGCTGCCTGCCTCTTAGAGGGGGAGGGCGCGCAGTGCGGGGGTCTAGATGTATGTTGATTTCAGCCTGAGGCGCCAGAAACTTAACCTGTGGATGGGAAGTGGAGGGCCCAGGACTCTGCTATCTTAGGACTCTTTGGGGCTCCATTGAGGGACCCAGAAATTTCCTGCCTCCTTGGTCAAAGGATCTTCTCTTCGGTAACCTGGGCTTATTCTTAATCCTCAAACCACTCTGGCTTTCCTAAAGTAGGACCTGAGGAAAAATGACTGTGCCTTATGGCCTTATGCCTGTGGCCACCTGTCAAATCCCCATGTGGAGCAGACATCAAGCCAAGCTCACTTGCATAGTAAATATTTGATGGAAGGATGAGATTGCCTGATAGACCAGGCAAACTGAACTGTTCCAAGGAGAATTCTGTGTGCCTTTGAGAAAGGTAGGTCCCAACATGTAAAACAAACAAACAAAAATAAGTTGTTTTTTCTTGACCTCAGCTATATCCTGATATTCTGTCCCTCCCACACCCATATTCTCCTTACTATGGTTGGACCATGAACCACAGCACCTGAATGTTTATGCAAAGCCTTCTGGCTCCCTGGATCACTCTTGGATTTCTTTTTAGCCTCCTGCAACCCATATGAGAAGGAAGTAAATTAAAACTTTTGGAAGTAAAGAAAACTTTTCAAAAGGAGTCTAAAAGAAAGGAGTTAATATCTACATACAGAGAACAGGGAGAATCCCACCTCTCACCCAACCCTTCCCATTATGGGCTGCATATACCTCTCCCTCTCCCAGTTCCAGCAAACCCTGGGGGTCCACTCATTGCCACTATACCTGTTTCTTTTTTCTTTTTTGAAGATTTATTTTTATTTACTTATGCATACAAGAACTGGGGTGTAGGCCAGAGGTGTTGGGGGGAGAGGATTCACCAGAGACAGAGTGGGGAGCAGGACAGGTGGATCTACTAAAATACACTGCTGAGGGGAGCAGCGGGCACAGGAGAGGTCTGCTGCACCATGTGGGTTAGCTCCCCGGCAGGGATTGAACTCACTAAAGTGGTGGTATAGCACTGAAACTTAATCCCTGAGTCATCAAGGAGTCCCCTCTACCTTTTTCTTAGTAGGTATCTTTGCCTTCATCTGTTGATGCTTCTGCTGCTGCTGCTGCTGCTGCTGCTGCTGCTGCTGCTGCTGTTGCTCCTGCTGCTGCTGCTGCTGCTGCTGCTGCTGCTGCTGCTGCTGCTGTTGCTCCTGCTGCTGCTGCTGTTGCTCCTGCTGCTGCTGCTGTTGCTCCTGCTGCTGTTGCTCCTGCTGCTTCCAATGATCTGGTGACCAGAAAGCCCACTCAACCCTGACAGGCCCCCCAGTCAACCCAGGGCTGCTCTATAACAGTGACAGTCTCCCTCTGACAGGGACCAAGCAGAGGAGGCGAGGCTGCAACTGACACTGAGCTCTACATGTGACCCTGTGCGAGTGTGGCCACAAATATCACTGATAGGGGACATCAACTATGAGGAGTGTGGACTGAAGGAAGAGCAGCACCTGGAGATCTGGCCACACAGAGGACTTACCTTCTGTCTTCAGGTTAGAAGATAATTTCTTCAAATGTCCAGAGTGTCTCAACAATGGCTTCTAGAGGAAAGAAAAGGAGAAAATCTCTACAGCACGTTTTTCCTTTTCTCAAAATGTACCTCAAAGGCATTTATCCATCTAGTCAACTAGCACTTTTTGAGAACTGGAGTGTACAGCGTTGCACCGGGGGCTGAGGAGGAAAGGTGGGGAATGAAGCACAGAAGAAACAGAAGCGGTTGCCTTCCTCAAGCCCTTCCTGGCACCTTTGCTTTTACCTACATAGAGCCCAGCCCTTCTATGGGGCTTAGCCAAGAGTGGAAGGACAGAAAAGCAGGAAGAAATAGAGTCAACCCTTCCAGCCTGAGGAAACGACTGTGGATCTGCAGACAAACATCTTATTCCGAGGCTCCCAGCTCTTACTTGCAGGGTGAGGCGCTGTATAGATAAAAACATCCTAGCAGAAATTGCACTGTCAGGCCGGCTCTTTTCCAGGGGAAGAGTCTTTTTCACCATGGCCAATTGTGCCTTCAGCTCTGGACAAGAAACGGTTTTCCCTTTATCTGACAAGAGGCTGGAAGGGACAGAGATGGGCAGTCAGCAACAACGCTTGGAGAGTATAGCTAAGGAGAATGAAAAGGGCTCCATAGTCAAAGAAATATCCACTTAGGGACTGGAGAGCCCATACCTCCAGGCATTGCTAACAACACCTGAAGTCACCTTTGGCAACAGCTCTAGTTAGAGCTATATGAATTAAATGTCTACTATAGGTCAGGTCCATGTGTTCATACCACTGAACCTCGCAGCACCCCAAGGACAGGTATCCCATGTTGCCGATGAGGAAAAAGAAGCTTAAAGAGGCTAAATGAAGCACCAAAATTCACTAAGTCAGTAGGTTTCAGGATCAAATTCAATGCTTGTTTCATTCCAAATGGCATGTCCACTCTGTCTTCCACTTATCCATATCCATCTAGAAAAGGAGGAGAGTAATAACGTCTACCTCCTAGTGAGCTTTGACTGAGATGTGATGTTCTTAGCACAGGGCCTGGCAGGTGATAAGTGCTTGATAAACGATCATGAATACCGTCCTTGCTACCTATTGGTAAGTCTAAGAAAACTGCCATACTCAGGGAGATAGTTTTCGCCCCTCCCTACTCAGAAAGATCACACTGCTTACAGGTTAGCCTCCTTCACTTCAAAGAAAGGCAGAGGCACAGGCTGACAGGATACTTACTCCTTCAATAGATCCTGAGGTAACATGTCAAATTGGTTCCAAAGAGGTGAGGAATGTGAAGTGAGTTGCTCAAACAAATGTACTGGGGAGGGGGGAGGCACCATCATCCTTGGAGTTCTCCAGTCTTTTTCTGAGTGTTGCTTTCGGGACAGAGGTGACTTGCTGCTCTGGAAGAGAAACAATGAAAAACTCCCTGAAGCATTCTCTTCCATGCTATGCCTTTCCATCAACATTCCAACCTCCCCACACAACCTTGGTACATGAAACTGTTTGCAGACTCCTGCCTTCTGTGCTGCTCTGAGGGTCACCTCATTCCCCACCTCACCCCCGACTCCCCAAACCGGTTCATTGAATTCACATCATATGGAGATTAGTTGTTGAGGTTGTATTTTCCCAAAAAGGTTATTAATGTACTTATTGAACAAACTAAATAAATATTTATTGGCCAACTATCTGCCAAGCACAAGGCTAGAGCTGGGGACTCAGCAATGAACAAAATGGGCCAAGACACTGCTGTCATGGACGGAGCAATCTTCCAACTCTGGCTGATCCAAGCCTGAATTTATCCAATATATGGTAGAGTCAGAATTAGAAGTCCAGTCTAAGTCTATTATAATTCTTGGTCCTCTGAAATTCTATCCCTATCACACAGGAAACTAGTTTTTATTTGACAAAAAATTCTTCCTGAATAACCAACAGTCCTTTCTAACATGTCTTCAAGGTGTTCTTCACCTCCCTGTATGAAGGAGACAAGGAAAGAATCTCTGAATAAAAAATGGCTTGGTACTTATTCCTACAAAGAGGTTTTCTTTTACAGATGTTGCTCAATTAGAGAGTGAATGAGTAACTGAAAGGAAAACAAAAACTCTCAGAGTGATGTCTTAAAGGTTTGGCCAAAACATCAAACTTACCACTGCAGCCTTCTTCCTTTCCTTCTCCCCCGACTGTTTAGGAACAATAGGCTTCCTCTCAGTTGGACTTAAAATAAAAATAACCACAACTTATTCCAGACATTAATCAGAAGCACTAAGGATATCTGTGAATGCTGACAGTGAAGACTTCTAGCCATTAATCAATACTCAAAGCTATTAGGCTACTGGGGATCCCAGTGGTACCCACTGCCCAGAGATTATGAAAAACATGAACCCCCCCCCATCTCAATTAGGCTCCCACCATTCTCTCATACAATCCAATTATTCTTTTCATAGCATTAATCCAAATTAGTAATCATCTACTTGGCTGTGGTGATGTTTGTAACATTTGGATTCCCCACACACAAACTAAGACTGTAGGAGGACAAGGACCAAGTCTACTTGGTTCTCCAGTAAATTTTCACTGGTTAGTACAGAGGAAGTATTCAAGTATTTTTCACCCTACTCTTCCTCCTCCTTCTTGCCTGGAATACGGATATGATGGCTGGAGTTCTAGTAGTCAAAAAGACCCCACAAAACATCTTAAAAGATGAAAGCTTTGGGCTAAAGATAACAACCCAAGAGTTAGAAGGAGTTATGGTTTTGATTACCTCATGGAGATGACATGCTACTCCTAGTCCAGAGACTTCTGGACTTCTTTTACACAAAAATAAACCATTAGGAGTATTTTTGTTTAAAACATATTTATATACATATATGTATACATATATATATTCACACAAAAATGGATCTATAAAGAAGCATTCACACAATCATTGAAAAAGAAGAAAACAAAATAAAAAGAATATCTTGACTGTGAGGCACTTGGAGCCATTGCAGACCATGCTGCCTTTGTCTCTTTAAGGCATGAACTGCAGAAGGGAAAATGGCAGAGCTGCAGATGTTGTTACTTGAGGAGCTCCTATCTGGAAAGCAAACACTGATAGAGTTAACATCACTTGACTCAGGTAGCAACTACTGTGAAAACAACTACCTATGTACAGTTGGTTCTGACTGATGAAGAATGCTAATACTCCTTGTTGTGGAAAAGAGGCTGCAGATAAAAGCTTTAGAAGAGACCAAGGCCTACATTGCCCAATCTCCAGCTAGTGTTGCTTATTAAATAAATGCATTGGTCAACAATGTACTCCAACTGCTTTGGAGAATGGAGTCGTCCATCAATCATAACTCCCAGACCATGGATACTCATAAAGAGAAAGTGGCTCAAAGAGAGACACATATTTTGACAACAAACAAGAATACATCAAGAACTCACAATATAATAGCACCAACAAATATGCATCACCCCATAAAGTAGAAAACTATTGACTGTACAGTTCTGGATGATGTGGACCATGATGTCAAGTGTAGAAATAACCAAAACTGGCACACAACTCCTACTCAGACACCACCAAATGCAGTCAGATCAGAAAATATTGGGACAGAATACTTAACCCCCAATGACCCAAATGACTACATGCCAAGTCCTGCTGGACTTGGAAGTCAGCATAGTCCATGAAGGACAGTTTCTTTAAATCAGAGACTAAGGACACAGTGAAGGTAGTAGAAGAACTGGAAGTAAAGAAAAGAGTGGAAGAGGCAGTACTGGCATTCCCTTTGCCATGTGTATACCTTCACCACCTTCTACCCAGACCCCGGCTCAGCTCTGATTCTGGTATGGCACCATGACCAGACAAACTTCTTGACACTCTACCACTCCTTCAACATCATCTAGTGGATACGGATGACCTCCCTCTGTGACTGCTCAATTTTTCTGCTGTTTCTTGCTAATAAAGGTCCACTTTATTCTTAAATTTCAATGCTGATCGTTCAACTCCATCACCACCACCTCCACCAGACAGTATTCCTGGATAACAAGTTTGATGACTCTCCGCCTCCTCCCCCTCAACCTCCAGTAGATTATGAAGATGAGGAAGGATGGCTGTTCAACATAATGAACCATATATAAATAGAGATCCTGCTGGGGCCCCCACGAATTATATTGAGAAAGTTGTAGTAATATGTGATTATACAGAAAACAAGGATGATGAGCTGTAGTTAGTAGAGGGTGCAATCATTTGTATAATAAAGAAATAGGGTGGCCAATATAAAGGATTCTGCAATCGAGTGACTGGTCTGTTCCCTGGGAACTATGTTGACTCAATCATGTACTACACTGATTAAATATTTTGCTTTTAATGTAGGTCCTGATTATTACTCAGTCACACTGTGGGACTATTATGTTAACAGAATTGTCTTGAAATGTTTTAAAATGTGCCTATATTTTCAGGACATGCTGTTTTATTGGTATAACTAAATGTCTACCTATAAGAATCTTTGAGGCAGTTTGTGTATTGCTAAATAGCAATTTATATAAGAGGCTATCCATACTTGAATATATACTTATGCATTGTTAAATTTATGACCAGCCTAAATATTTGGGGTGTATGGGATAATACAATTTGTTAACAAGTCATGATTCATATTGCACCATTACATGTTTTAGTACAGCATGGTTACAAATGCTATATCAGATTAATATTAATATCAGAAAACAAGTGCTGGTCATACTTTTTATATAGACTCATTCATTTTTGAAATACACTATTTGTTAAAAGCTTGATAACATTGCAATTTGCACTTAAGTTTTTGAATGAGGGGCTCTGCATTATAAGATTTTTCAAATCATAAACATAACTGGGTTTTGTCCTTTACTAGTTTGTTTTAAAAAAAGAAATAGACAAAAAAGATACTGACTTATTGCAGATTTTTGGTTCTATTTCCCAATATATTAATTTGGAAACACATTTTAGCTTTATCTTAATCTATCCCAATGTGATAGGATTGATTTTTGCAGATTTGACATCCAAAATGGTTATTTATAAATTAATCTACTGAATTCCTTTTCTAAGGTAACTTTTCCAAAGATTAGAAAATATGGGCCTCCCTTGTGGCACAGGGGTTAAAGTCTCAGCACTCTCAAGCTATTGCCAGCCACTGTAGCAAAGGTTCCATGCCCTGCCAGGGAGGTGACCACATGGCACAGCAGACCTCTCCTGCCTTCTCCACTTCTCCCCTCAACAGTGTATTTCAGTAGATTCACCTGTTCTGCTCCTCACTCTGTCTCTAGTGAGTCCCCTTACCCCCCACACCTCTGGCCGACACCCCAGTTCTTATACGCAGAAAAAAAAATTTTTTTTTAAAAAGATGAGAAAATATGTTAAAGTATGCATATTCTATAAGTGAAATTCTTATGATGGCTATCCTTAAGCAATCCTTCAGTTGTTAGGTAGATTGTTGTACACTGCTCCAATGAAAGGGAATTACAAATATCTTTTACATATTGTTTTTGTAGAAACAGGTGCAATTGATTTTTTTTCAATTTAAATTTTCATATTTATTTATTTATTTATTTATTTATTTTTATATTCCCCATACAATTGCAACCCCGATTTTGACCCCAATCCCTCCTTTCCCCCACCCCCCAAAGAGTGTCTCTGGTTCATAGCTGTTTGTTGATTTTGACTTTTTCCTTTCTTATAGTTATTCTTTTTCCTGGTCCATATTTAGGTTTTCTAGATTCCTGCATGAATGAGACCATCTGGTATTTTTCTTTTTCTTTCTGGCTTATTTGCTAAGCATGATCCCTTCCAGCTCCATCCATGTTGCTGCAAATCGCATGAGTTTATCTCTTTTGATAGCTGAGTAATATTCCATGGTGTATATATACCACATCTTCTTGATCCAGTCATCTATTTTTGGGCATTTGGGTTGTTTCCAAAGCTTAGCTATTGTAAATAGTGCTGCTATAAACATAGGGGTGCAGGTGCTCTTTGGAATTGATGTTTCTGTTCCTTTGGGTAAATACCTAGGAGTGGAATTGCTGGATCATATGGAAGCTCTATCTTTAGTAGGTTGAGAAATCTCCACACAGCTTTCCATAGTGATTGGACCAGTTTGCACTCCCACCAACAGTGCAGGAGAGTTCCTTTTTCTCCACATCCTCGCCAACATTTGTTGTTGCTAGTTTTTTTTTAATATGTGCCATTCTCACTGGTGTGAGATGGTATCTCATTGTAGTTTTGATTTGCATTTCTCTCATTGCAAGTGACATTGAACATTTTTTCATATGTCTGGTGGCCATTTGTATTTCCTCTTTGGAGAAGTTTCTTTTTAGCTCTTCTGCCCATTTTTTGACTGGATTATTTTCTTTGTTTTTGCTGAGTTAGGTGCAATTGATTTTTGAATGAACATTTAATCCAGGGCCTCCCCTGGTGGCACAGCAGTTGAGCGCTGGGCTGCAAAGCTGCCTGCAGCCTCTGCAGCGCCGGTTCGATCCCCGGCTGCTCCCCGGCCACCAGAAGAGGGTCCCACATGGCGCGCAGACCTCTCCTGCGGCCCACTGCTCCCCTCAGCAGTGTATTTCGTCAGTCTGTCTGTTCTGCTCCCTGCTCTGGCTCTGGTGAGTTCTCTCACCCTCCCATGCTTCTGACTGTACCCAGTGCTTGTATAAATAAATAAATCTTTAAAAAAAAAAAACAACCATTATTTAATCCATTACCTGGCACTAGCAACATAACAAGGTTTTTAAAATAAAATAATTGGGGGCTGGGGGGTGGTGGGTCACATATTAAATCAGTGAATAGGGATATATACCTGACCAATAAATTTGTATTGTCTTTGATATAACTGAAACGCAGCACATGCTTAATTTAAGGGAAAGTCAGAGGGATGTTTTCTCTTTTTATTTTGTGTACAATTCTATATTGCCTTGGATATTAAAGTAGAGCACTCTGATGTAGGTTTCTGTGTATTGAGAATTTGTTTGGATTTCAAATTACAGTTATATACTGGGTGTTACAGACTTGTAACAGCATACTAAATGTTAAGACTAGTGCAAAAACAATTATTTCACACACACAAACAATTGCCTTAGCAGTCATTAAAGAAAAAAACATTCTCTTTCAATACGGGTCAATGTTGGCATACCTTTGGGTCTTTACCAAATGATCTTATCACGCTCCACTTTGTACACAAGTCCAATACACTATTCATTTTGTATCATTCTACTAGGTTTTGGGTTGAAACCAAAACTTCATGTGTTTTGCTGAGAACATTTTCACTAGTTGTTGAGGCTAATAAGAAAAATTGATAGAGGGCCTCCCCGGTGGCGCAGAGGTTGAGCGCTGGGTTGCGAAGCTGCCTGAGCCTCTGCTGCGCCGGTTCAATCCCCGGCTGCTCCCCGGCCACCAGAGGAGGGTCCCACATGGCGTGCAGACCTCTCCTGCCGCCCACTGCTCCCCTCAGCAGTGTACTTCGGTCCTTCTGCCTGCTCTGCTCCCTGCTCTGGCTCTAGTGAATTCTTTCACCCTCCTGCGCTTCTGACTGTACCCAGTGCATGTACAAACAAACAAACAAATAAATAAATAAAAATGCATGCCTTTAAAAAAAAAAAAAGAAAGAAAAATTGATAGAAAGTATGTATTTCGGGGCCTCCCTGGTGGCACAAGGGGTTAAGCACTGCACTATGAAGTATGAAGCAATCCACAGCCTCTGCAGCACATATTCAATCCCTGGTTGCCAGAGAGCAACGTACATGGTGAAGCAGACCTCTCCTGTCTCGCCCGCTGCTCCCCTCTGCAGTGTATTTCAGTCTGCCTGTTCTGTTCCCCACTCTGTCTCTGGTGAATCCTCTTACCCCCTGCATCTCTCTGGCCTGTACCCCTGCTCTTGTATGCATAAATAAATAAATCTTTTAAAAGAAAAGTTGTATTTCTTAGTCAAACCTTACAAACACATTAGGCCCCATCTTGTATGCCATTACTGCCATGTAGCATTTGATGTAGCAAAGTCCACAGCATGACTCTAAGTGCATTAAAATAGAATTCCAGTGTATCAAGAAACAGATGTAAGAAATCATGACCACCTTCTCTGCTTGATCTCCTATGATCTGCAATGAAGTGACTAAAAAGAAGAGTTCAAAAGGAGGCATGCAGAGGACAGTAGGGATTTGTAGATTATAAGAGTTGAAGGTGGCGCAGGCGGTTGAGCACCGCACTGTGAAGCTGTCAACAGCCTCTGCAGCACGGGTTCGATCCTGGTCCACCGGTGAGAATCCCACATGGCACGGCAGACCTCTCCTGTCTCACCCGCTACTCACCTCGGCAGTGTATTTCATCAGTCTGCCTGTTCTGTTCCCTGCTCTGTCTCTGGTGAATCCTCTCAACCTCCCACTCATCTGGCCCGTACCCAGGTTCTTGTATAAATAAATAAATCTTTAAAAAAAAAAAAAAGAGTTGAAGGAGTTGCAGAAATGATACTCACATCATCTGATTGTCTGATTCTTCTGGAATCCAGATTACAACCATATTTCTAACATCCTGAGGACAGGGAATTTTTGTCCTATTCAAATTTAGCACTGGAAGCTCGAAGAAAGACAAACAGTCTAAATAAGGCTTGAAGGTACCAGTCCCTGAGAGCATTCAGTACCAGACTAAAAGAACTGATTACCACCCTAACCAAAAGCATTTAGTCTCAAAGATGACAAAGACATCTTCTAGTCCCAAAACATCTTCATAAAACTCCTCCCCTCAAAAAAAACACATGTATCAGTAAAGGTAGTCTGCAAGGCTGAGCATTTGTAAATGAATAATTTCCCCTGCCTCCCGGAGATAGTAGGGTTGTATTTGGCAATTCCCAACCCCATCCCATATAAGTATACCTTCAGGCTTATCTAGGGGACCACTACTCCTTCCGTCTACCCCATTCCAAAGACTTAAGTCCCCTTCAGATAATAAAATGTAGCTTGGGAGATAATATGTAATTTGGGAGGAGACTGCTAGAGACAAAAGCAAAATTCCTACTGTCACTGCTTGCCTACAGTTATTGGTATCTATCAAAAAGTTAGTGTTAGCTCTTTTCACATTTTAGCCACTTAGCTATTCACAATGCTCAAGGAAACCTTATAATCTAGTCCATGTCCATGGTTGGATACAGGGGATGAAAAAACTACTGAAAATAAGGTTGTCCCCACAAAAAATGAGCTAATTGGCTTGGGGGAAAAAGGGAGATTTCTGGCATTACAAACCCTTTTATGCCTTTGGGACTTAGAACCAATTGCATGTATTATCTATTCAAGTAATTAATTTAAAACTAATTTAATCTGGGCCTCCCCGGTGGCACAGCGGTTGAGCGCTGGGTTGCGAAGCTGCCCGCAGCCTCTGCAGCACCGGTTCGATCCCCGGCTGCTCCCCGGCCACCAGAGGAGGGTCCCACATGGCGCGCAGACCTCTCCTGCGGCCCGCTGCTCCCCTCAGCAGTGTACTTCGGTCCTTCTGCCTGCTCTGCTCCCCGCTCTGGCTCTGGTGAATTCTCTCACCCTCCTGCGCTTCTGACTGTACCCAGTGCTTGTATAAATAAATAAATAAATAAATCTTCAAAAAAAAAAAATAAGACTAATTTAATCTAATCATCTTGCTCTGAAAAGATCAAAGAGGTAACTACTGTCATTCATCCATTCAAACTGATCTACCTTCTCTTAGTCCCTTATACTCTCCACCACATAACATTGAAAAGTGAGTAGCTCTCTTTTCAGGCAGACCGTAAAGAATAATCTCTCTTTATAACAGATAATAAGTAGAAAGCTTTTTCTTCCTAAGCGCTAATATAGCTCTACCCCTAACTAGCTATGTACTTTAGCAAAGCATGTCCTATCTAGGCTTCAGTTTCCTCAACTGTAAGATACATGAGAGACCATGGTTACCAATGTTCTTCAAATTTCAATTGCAAATTATTCATAGACCATGAAGTAAAATTTTATGACTCACAGTCCATGTTGTTTAAAAACAAAATAGAACAGGAGATAAAATAATACAGCACATCATCCACAGTTAGGATAAGAATTGTTCCATGACATTTAATTGTAACATGTATTGCTTGCCATAGACCACAGCTTAAAAAGTTTGAAAGCCAGGGCCTCCCCGGTGGTATGGCGGGTTGAGCACAGTGCTGTGAAGCTGTCCGCAGCCTCTGCAGCACAGGTTCGATTCCCAGCCAGCCAGGGAGCTACCCACATGGCACAGCAGACCTCTCCTGTCTCACCCGCTGTTCCCCTCAGCACCTGCCTGTTCTGCTCCCCTCTCTGTCTCTGGTGAATGCTCTCACCCTCCCCTGCCTCTGGCCTGTGCCCCAGTTCTTGTGTAAATAAAAATAAATCTTAAAAAAAAAAAGTTTGAAAGTCATCAAATGACAGTAAGGGCCATGTTAAGTCTGACATTCCAGGATTTGCATTACCTTAAGAGATGACAGTAAAAATACTCCATGCAGGATAGAGGCAAAATCCTTACTCAGGCCAAATTGCCATAAATCAATCCCACTTTTATCTGGGATTTCTGGAAACAGTATGCAAAGGCATTAGTAGAGACTGCCATATAAGTAAGGACCCAAGATCAGGTCCTATTATCATTACCACAAGCATCTTCATTACTCAGATTATAGTTATCCCAAGGAATATTTTATTTCCACTTGTAAAGAGAAAGTGTTGAAGAAGTACATTTTTAATCTGTGACTTACTTTGAGAGATCTGTCAGTACGACTGATTAAACTTTTGTCAGGTAAATCCTTCTGAGGCCTAAAAAATGAAAGTTTCAAACATGAAACACATATGCAAAGACTTATTAGGATGATAAAGTTAGTGTTAGCAGGAAAAGCCTTCTACTTACCTACAGAAATCCTTGTGTTGAATACTTATTATGGATGTAGGGTCTCACCATCTTAATTTTTGTTTTTGTTTTTCATGGACCAGCTTTCAACCAGATATTGCACATTGCAAATACTACACAATTATTTGTTACCTCAAATTGAATTCACCTAGCTTCTGTCTTTCCAGCTATAGATAGTTACAATACCATCAATAAAAGTTTTATTAAGTACCTTTGATAAGATGCTCAAAAATACATTAAACTTTAAAAATGTGGTATTTACATACAATAAATATATTTCCATTTAAAAAGGAATTAAACTCTGGTACATGCTACAACATAGATGAAACACAAAAACATGCCAAATGAAATAAGCCAGACACAAAAGGTCAGTTATTGTATGTACTTTCACAGTATTAAAATAGGCAAATCCATAGACACAGAAAAAAGAGATACCAAGGGCTGAAGGGAAGAGGGGATTGGAAGTTATTATTTAATAGATAAGGAATTTCTGTTGGAGATGATGAAAAAGTTCTAGAAATGGGTAATGGTGATGGTTGTACAATGTAACTGCACTTAAAGTCACTGAATTCTACATTTAAAAAATATTTAAAATGGTAACTTTGATGTGTATATGTGTGTTTTTTTTTAATGTCACAGAGTTTTCTTTTTTTTTTTTTAATAGAGGCATGTTTTATTTATTTATTTGTTTGTTTGTTTGTTTTCTTTATACATGCACTGGGTATAGTCAGAAGCCGGGAGGGTGAGAGAATTCACCAGAGCCAGAGCGGGGAGCAGAGCAGGCAGAAGGACCGAAGTACACTGCTGAGGGGAGCAGCGAGCGGCAGGAGAGGTCTGCGCGCCATGTGGGACCCTCCTCTGGTGGCCGGGGAGCAGCCGGAGATCGAACCAGCGCCGCAGAGACCGCGGGCAGCTTTGCAACCCAGCGCTTAACCGCTGCGCCACCGGGGAGGCCAGTATATGTGTTTTTTTTAAAGATTTATTTATTTTTGCATACAAGAGCTGGGGTACAGGCCAGAGATGTGGGGGGTGAGAGGATTCACCAGAGACAGAGCAGGGAACAGAACAGGTAGACTGACTGAAATACACTGCTGAGGGGAGCAGCAGGTGAGTCAGGAGAGGTCTGCTGCACATGTGGGTCAGCTCTCTGGCTGGGGATCGAACTTGTGCTGCAGTGGCTGCAAACAGCTTCACAGTGCTGTGCTTAACCCCTGCGCCACCAGGGAAGCCCTGATATGTATATGTTTTGTTGCATGAGGATGATCGAGAGGTGACCTAAGGACGGCAAGGGAAAGGGCTTACCAAAAGGCATACATCAGGGCGGAAAACCGCCCAGGAGGGACGCCCCAAACTTGCTTTGTCCTTGGAAGTCTCCCCAGTCATTACCTAGCAACAGAGGCCCACTGGGGCAGACGTGCAGATAAGCTCAAGGCCTCACAGCTCAAGGCCTCACATATGCGGTGTGTATGAGCTCACGTATATGGTGTGCGAGGCAAGGTTGTTTTGGCTTTCTCTGACTTGTGAAAAAATGCAGATGTCTTTGTTCATAATTCCTATTCAACCATGCTGAGAAAAACAGAAAATCACTGCTTCTGGCTAACAGCAGTTCCCCGCCTTGTGTGTCCTTCACGATCAGTGTCCCAGGTCTCAGAGTCCACTAGAGGCTCACATGTTTACAATAAAAATAACATCCCATTTACATTTTCATATCACATGCTACTCCCCTTTTTTTTAATATGTCAAATGTGTGTACTAATCATGCAAAGAAGTGTAGATAAAGACCCAACTCCTTAGTCTGATTTGTGAAGTTCCACATGAAGGCCCCTGTTTTCTACTCTAGCTGACTGGCCTCATCTATGACCAGAACAGATAGTTCTGTTCTAGATTCTAGACACACAGAACTACTGTTTCCTGTTAGCTGAAGAATTTACTCTCACCTCCAGTCCTTTGCATATGTCATTTCAGTAATCTAAAACATTCTTCCCCCACCTACAACCCCCACTACATGAGACTGCTCTAATTTGAGGTCAAGAAACAGACGCCACCTGTATAGAAAATAGTGCCCTGTTTGCTTCCACATACCCAGAGGGGTTCTCCTCTCCTGGAATTTTGAGATAGTAGGCTCTGAAAGGCTCTTAAAGAAAGACTCTATGATAATTTACCTGCCTTGAAATTTAGAGTGAAACTTTGAACCTCGAGCCTTAGAGAAGGTAAATCCTGATAAATGATGACGATGACGAGTACGTCTCTTGGCCTGGAGGCAGGGATTTGAGATGTTCACAATAGTGAGCATTGGGAGTTTGTCTGAGAAAACAGATCAGAAGAAAACATGAAATATGTCAAAGGAGCCAAACATTAATAGTTCAAGGATCTTACAAGGAAGGAGACAGGAACTGGTCAATTCACCTTCTGATTCCAGAGTTTTGCAAGGAACACCACCCAGGATTCGAGGGTGGCCACTCTCAATCCGGCGGATACTTGCCCAACATTGCGGATGCTGACAAATAGCCAATTTGCAGGTGGTTTCATCCCATTCACTCTTAGCTGGCAAATCCATAGCCACAAATGGTTTACAACAAAAGCCAATGTGATAGCTTTCTAGAATTCTGGAGAAACATCAACCACATAATTAGGGATCATATAGTATCCATGCCAATCCAGATCTAAATTTGGACTCAAAAGAATAAAATATTTCTATTGAACCCATATAGGTAGTGATAGTCACAGAGCAATTAAGAATTGGGTAATAAGAAAATATGAAAATATCTCAGTATGTGGAGTGACAAGAGTTCAGGAGCAGACTGTTCAGAAAACCCCTAATTAGCCATTTAATAGCTAAGTGACCTGGGACTTAACCAATCTGAGCTTCAGTTTCCTCATTTGCACAATGAAGATAAACTTATTTGACAGTGCCATTACAAAAATGAGTTAAATTTGTTTAAAAGTCTGGCATACAGCAGGAACAGCTATACTTATATCAGATGAGATAGACTTCAAATTTAAAAAAGTAAAAAGAGACAAACATGGGCACTATATTATGATCCAGGGGACAATACTCCAGGAAGAAATAACACTCATCAACATTTACTCACCAAATCAAGGAGCACCAAAATATATTAGACAATTATTATCAGCTCTGAAATCAGAAATTAAAGAAAATACATATATAGTAGGAGACTTCAACACCACATTCTCACCAATGGACAGATCAACGAGACAAAAAAATAACAAAGACACTAGGGACTTAAATAAAGACATAGAACTCATGGACTTAACAGACATCTATAGGACACTGCACCCAAAAAAATCTCAGTACACATTTTTCCCAAGCGCACATGGATCATTCTCCAGTATTGATCACATACTGGGCCACAAGACAAACATCAACAGACACATGAAGATCAAAATCATTCCAACTATCTTCTCCAATCATAAAGGCATCAAACTAGAAATAAATCATGAAAAGAAAACAAGGAACACTCCCACTTCATGGAGATTGAAATCCATAGTACTGGAAGACCACTGGACTAATGAGGAGATCAAAGAAGGTATTAAAAAATATTTTGAGTTGAACGACAAGGAGGACACTGCTTTCCAGAATGTATGGGATGCAGCAAAAGCAGTAATAAGAGGAAATATATATAGCAATACAGGCTCACATCAAGAAACAAGAAAGAACTCAAAGAAACAACCTAACCTCACATCTCAAAGAGCTAGAAAAAGAACAACGAAAAAACCCCTAAAGCCAGTAGAAGAAAGGAAATAATAAAAATCAAAGCAGAAATAAATGAAATGGAAATTAAAAAAACAATCCAAAAGATCAATGAAGGGCCTCCCTGGCAGGCGGTGGAGCACCACGCTGTGAAGCTGTCCACAGCCTCTGCAGCGCCGGTTCGATGCCGGCCAGCTGGCAAGGGTCCCACATGGAGAGCAGACCTCTCCTGTCTCACCTGCTGCTCCCCTGAGCAGTGTATTTCGTCAGTCTGCCTGTTCTGTTCCTGCTCTGTCTCTGATGAATCCTCTCACCTTCCCGCGCATCTGGCCTGTACCCCAGTTCTTGTATAAATAAAATAAATCTTTTAAAAAAAATCAATGAAACCAAAAGTTGGTTCTTTGATAAAATAAACAAAATAGACAACCTCTAGCCAGACTCACAAAGAAAAAATGGGAGAAAACACATATAAATAGAATTATAAATGAAAGAGGAGAAATCACAACAGACTCAGTAGAAATCAAAAGAATAATCAGAGATTACTATGAACACTTATATGCAAACAAATTCAACAACCTAGAAGAGATGGACAAATTCCTAGAACGATATAATCATCCAAAGCTGGACAAAGAAGAAATAGAACAACTAAGCAGATCAATTACAAGCACGAAATTGAGGCAGTAATCAAAGCACTCCCCAAAAACAAAAGCCCAGGTCCAGATGGCTCCACAAATGAATTCTACCAAACATTCAGCAGTGTATTAGTGCCTATCCTACACAAACTCTTTCAAAGAACTGAAAAAGAATGAATACTACCAAATACATTCTACGAAGCCAACATTACACTAATATCAAAACAAACAGGGTCTCCCCGGTGGCGCAGTGGTTAAGCGCTGGGTTGCGATGCTGCCCGCAGCTTTTGCCGCGCCGGTTCGATCCCCGGCTGCTCCCCAGCCACCGGAGGAGGGTCCCACATGGTGCGCAGACCTCTCCTGCCGCCCACTGCTCCCCTCAGCAGTGTACTTTGGTCCTTCTGCCTGCTCTGCTTCCCGCTCTGGTGAATTCTCTCACCCTCCCGCGCTTCTGACTGTACCCAGTGCATGCATAAAAAAAAAACAAACAAACAAATAAAATAAATATATAAAACATGCCTCTATAAAATAAAAACAAACAACAACAAAAAAAAAAAAACAGCACAAAAAAAGAAAAGTACAGGCCAATCTCCCTAATGAACACAGATGCAAAAATTCTCAACAAGATCCTTGCCAACAGAATCCAACAATGCATCAAAGGGATAATATACCACGATCAAGTGGGATTCATCCCAGGGGCACAGGGATGGTTCAACACATGAAAATCAATCAGTGTAATCCAACACATCAACAAAAAGAAAAATAAATACCATATGATCATATCAATAGATGCTGAGAAAGCATTAGACAAAGTCCAACATCCATTTATGATGAAGGCCCTTGAAATTCTCAGGGTAGAAGTAACACACCTTAACACGATAAAAGCCATATATGACAAACCCACTGACAATATTATTTTCAATGGCGAAAAGCTGAAGGCCTTTCCTTAAAGATCAGGAACAAGACAAGGATGTCCTCTCTCACCACTGCTCTTCAATATAATACTGGAGGTCCTAGCCAGGGCAATAAAACAAGAGAAAGACATACAAATAGGGAAAGAAGAAGTTAAACTATCATTATTTGCAGACAATATGATAATATACATAGGGAACCCTAAAAACTCGACAGAAAAACTACTCAAAATAATCAACCAGGGCCTCCCCTGCTGGCGCAGCAATTGAGCGCTGGGCTGTGAAGCTGCCCACAGCCTCTGCAGCGCTGGTTCGATCCAAGCCGCCAGTGAGGGTCCCACATGGTGTGCAGCAGACTTCTTCTGCTGCACCTGCTGCTTCCCTCAGCAGTGTGTTTCGGCAGTCTGCCTGTTCTGTTCCCCACTCTGGCTCTGGTGAATTCTCTCACCCTCCCGTGCTTCTGACTGTACCCAGCGCTTGTATGAATAAATAAATAAATATTTTTAAAAAATTAATAATCAACCAGTTCAGTAAAGTAGCAGGATACAAATCAATACACAAAAATCAGTAGCCGTCCTATACACAAACAATCAATCGGAAGAAGAAGAAATCAAGAAAACCATCCCTTTTATAATTGAAACAAAAAAAATCAAATATTGGGAATAAAACGAACAAAAGAGGTAAAAAACTTATACAAAGAAAATTATAAAACACTGTTAAAAGAAATAGAAGAAGACACAAAGAAATGGAAAGACATCCCCCGTTAATGGATTGGAAGAATTAACATTATTGAAATGTCCATCCTACCAACAACAATGTACAGATTCAACACTATTCCAGTAAAAATTTCATGACATTCTTCAAAGAAATAGAACAAATACTGATGAAATTCATATGGAGCCACAAAAAACCACAAATAGCCAAAGCCCTACTGATGAAAACAAAGGAGAAAGGAGTTATCACATATCCAAACTTCAAGCTATACTACAAAGCCATAATAATTAAAACAGTTTGGTATTAGAACAAAAACAGACACACAGCCCAATGGAATCAAATAGAGAGCCCTTTCTATAAAATCACACATGGACAACTAAAGGAGCAAAGAACATGCAATGGAACATGGACAGCTTGTTCAATAAATTGTGCTGGGAAAACTGGACCACCACATCCAAAAAAATGAAACTAGACCAATACCTCTCACTGTGCACAAAAATCAACTTAAAATGTATGAGAGAACCAGACTTAAGACCTGAAACTATAAAATATATAGAATAAAATATAGGTAAAACACTACAAAACGTACATCACAATAACATCTTTTTTTTTTCAAAGATTTTTTTTAATTTATTTATACAAGCACTGGGTACAGTCAGAAGCACGGGAGGGTGAGAGAATTCACCGAGCCAGAGCAGGGAGCAGAGCAGGCAGAAGGACTGAAGTACACTGCTGAGGGGAGCAGCAGGTGTCAGGAGAAGTCTGCGTGCCATGTGGGACCCTCCTCTGGTGGCCGGGGAGCAGCCGGGGATCGAACCGGCACTGCAGAGGCTGCAGGCAGCTTCGCAACCCAGCGCTCAACCGCTGCGCCACCGGGGAGGCCCTATAATAACATCTTTAAAGACTCATCACCCAAAGCAAAGATAGTCAAGGAAAAGATAAACATGTGGGATTACATCAAGCTGAAAGGCTTCTGTACAGCAAAAGAGACATTAACCAAAACAGAGAGACACCCCACTGACTGGGAAAAAAAATCTTTGCACTCCAGTCAACTGATAAGGGACTGCTCACAAAGATATACAAAGAACTCACACGACTCAACAAAAACAAAATAAACAATCCAGCCAAGAAATGGGCAGAAACGCAGCCTCTGCAGCGCCGGTTCGATCCCTGGTCGCTGGCAAGGGTCCCACATGGCGTGCAGACCTCTCCTGCCACGCCTGCTGCTCCCCTCAGCAGTGTATTTCGTCAGTCTGCCTGTTCTGTTCCCCACTCTGGCTCTGGTGAATTCTCTCACCCTCCCGTGTTTCTGACTGTACCCAGTGCTTATATAAAAATAAAATAAATCTTTTAAAAAAAATGGGCAGAAGAACTTAAAAGACATTTCTCCAAAGAGGAAATGCAAATGGCCAACAGGCATAGGAAAAAATGTTCAACATCCCTTATCGTCAGGGAAATGCAAATTAAAACCACATTGAGATACCACCTTATACCACCTTACTCCACCTTATACCACCTTACACCAGTAAGAATGGCACATATCAAAAAAACAAGCAACAACAAATGTTGGAGAGGATGTGGTGAAAAAGGAACTCTCCTACATTGTGGGTGGGAGTGCGAACTGGTCCAACCACTATGGGAAGCTGTCTGGAGGTTCCTCAGTCTACTAAAAATGGAGCTACCATATGACCCAGCAATTCCACTACTATGGATCTACCCAAAGGACACAAAAACATTGATTCAAAAGACCATCTGTACATCTATGTTTATTACAACACTATTTACAATAGGTAAAACCTGGAAACAACCCAAATGCCCAAAAATAGATGACTGGATCAAGAAGATGTGGTACAGATACACCATTGAATACTACTCAGCAATCAAAAAAGATAAACTGATGCCATTCACAGCAACGTGGATGGAGCTAGAAGGAATTATGCTCAGTGAAATAAGTCAGAAGGAAAAAGAAAAACATCCCATGGTTTCACTTATAGCAGGAATATAGCGAAACCAAATAAGACATCAGTGTAAAAAAATAATAACAGTACAAAACACAACCAAGCAAAAATGGACAATTATAAATCAGAGACATCCTGCAGGGGAGGAGGCGGGAGAGGGATCAAAGAGAGGGAGGGAGGAGGACAGGGGACTGAGGTGATGGTGCACAGGTGCATTGGTGAAGGAAACTCTATGGAGGCTACACCTGAGGGGGTGGGGGGAAGCAAATAATGTTTGAAAATGAACAATGATGTAAAAAATAAAATATTTTTTTAAGTTGACACACAGTAGGCTTTTTTTTGATACTTTTTTTTTTTAAAAGATTTATTTATTTATTTATTTATACAAGCACTGGGTACAGTCAGAAGCGCGGGAGGGTAAGAGAATTCACCGGAGCCAGAGCAGGGAACTGAACAGGCAGACCGATGAAGTATACTGTTGAGGGGAGCAGCGGGCGGCAGGAGAGGTCTACGCACCATGTGGGAACCTCGCCCAGCAGCCGGGGATCAAACTGGCTCTGCAGAGGCTGAGGGCAGCCTCGCAACCCAGCACTCAACTGCTGCGCCACCAGGGTGACCCAAAAATATTTTTTTAAAAAAGCATTTCTCATAAGAAAAAAAAATCTGACATACAGTTCAAAATAAGTATTAGTATCCTTTTCTTTCTCCCTTCGTTAATTACTAGGGAGAAGATGCTATCACTTCCAAAAGGCTTATCAAACTATTAGTAAATATAGTCACAGATGTGCTATAAACAGCTCGTCAATTCTCAATATCCTCCAATTCTCATACAGGCAGCTAAAATACCCACCATAAATAATTGGGTTTGTTCAAACAGCAAATCAGTAGCTTTGCCATTGTATTAGATGCCAATGACTTTTTTATTTATTAGCAGTATGGTCTTGACAATGGACCTGTTTCTTTATATAAAACCAGGGAGGGTAAACCCCTAAATTAAATGAGATCATAATTTTAAGTAGATATATGTTATAGGTGCTCAATAAATATTGCCATCTTTCTCTCACTAGCAATGTTTTAATCAATCACTACCACCTGTTCCCTAATAACTTTTAAGGATTGTATTCATTTCTGCTTTCATTCACATTCCTTTTAACACGTTTATTGACTACCAAATATCCAAGGGGATTTGTAATGGGCATGGAAAATAGTAATGAACAAATCAAGGGGTTGCTCTAAAAACTTACAGTTTAGACCAAAACTAACAAACTATGGGCCTGTTGATTGCATGTGACTATGATGTGTTTGGTCTGCATGTTAAAACATTTTTGAAATGCAAACAATGCATAATGTTCACATATCTGGCTCTACTTCCAGATCAAAATACCATACAACAGGAGGGCCCAATTCCAACTTGACAACAGTTGGCTGGAGCTCAGCAGCGCTAACATCTTTAAATCGGATCTGTTCTACCCAAGTGGAGAGTTTCCTCACCAGACCCTATCACCTCTAACTGAAGCAGTTTCAGTTGCCATTTATCATCGTATTTGCTGTTGCTTTCCTCACAATAGGGAAATATTTCCCATACTCATGTCTCTATCAAAAGTAGGAAAGGAGTGACTTGGGAGAGCACGTTTCAAGGGGAAAAGCATGAATGCTCATGGGGAGTGAGGACAATTTCTACATAGGTAATAGGAAAACGATACGCATTTAAAAGCCACTACAAATCCGTGGTAATATTTTTCACTGTGAAAAGAGGTACTATGAACAATTCAAAAAACTAATACATAGGGCCTCCCTGGTGGCGCAAGGGGTTAAGCACCACACTATGAAGCAATCAGCAGCCTCTGCAACACTATAACGGGCAGCCCGGATATAAAGCGGTTGCCTGACTGTGGGTCCTCACCCGCATGCTTAAAAAGGAGTTATTAATACTCTACTGCAGGCACACACAAAAGGTTAATAAAAGGTTTATTTACAAGGGGAGGGGAAATGAGGAAATGTACAACTCAGGGAGAAAAGAGGGAAATAAAGTCTTAAACACGTCCTACCCTTTCCGCTGCCCTGGAATCCCAATGGCACTCTGAGAGCTGGCTGCGAACCACCAGCCACGAAACCAAGAGGAGAGAGAGACCCGCAAGACCCACGTGTCTTATACCACGTTTTATACCAAACCTGGCTGCTTAACTCCACCCTCAGGTCCCAGCAACCTTCCCTTTGGTGGTGATGGGATTTGTCTTTCCCAATGTCTTGACGGCTTTGGTCTGGAGTGGGGGTGGAGTACACAAAGCCTGTACAGGATTAGCTCAGGACATCCTTTCCCCCTAACAGAACAAGTTCGATCCCCAGCCAGGGAGCACCCCGCATGGCGCAGCAGACCTCGCCTGTCTCGCCCCTCAGCATTGTATTTCAGTCGGTCTGCCTGTTCTGTTCCCTGCTCTGTCTCTGGTGAATCCTCTCACCTCCCTGCACCTCTGGCCTGTACCTCAGTTCTTGTATGCATCTTGTATGCATAAAAATTTAAAAAAAAAAATTTAACTAATACATATATGCAATTTGAACAGGATTTGTTTTGAACGCGAATGCAATGTTGTCTGATCCTTACAACTGGCTGCTTGTTGACCTTTCGTTGCCTGAGCAGCCTGAATTGAGCCCCGAGGTCTGGTCATGCCCTTGTGTATATCCCTCGCTTTAGCGCTGTCCTAGCAAAGTAGTTTGCCTTCAACATTTGCAGGTAGCAGTTTTCCTTTGCACTATTACAAAATTGGGAGATTGAAAAATTAACTATGGTCATCAGCTCCAATAGAGCTAAATGAAAGATGCCACTTCACTCCCGGAAGGGAAGTGGGAGGATCCGGCCTCGGCGGGCCACGGCTCCACGCAACCAACGCAGACGCTTAACCGCCAGGTGACCGAAACCCGCGTAATAGCGAGGTCCCGGGAGGCGGGTGACAAGGTGAAAGGGCGCGGCGCGTAAGGCCCCGCCTCCCATCCGCAGGAGCCCCGCCCAGCCAGCCTGCGTACGCCTTCGCTGCTCACGCACGCCAACAGTCTGCGCCGTCGCCAGGTAGCGGCGCAGAGCACTCTGGGGAGTGACGGAAGCCCCAACGAGCCATGCTTAATTTGTGCAGACTTGGTGGTGGCGTGAAGCCGGGAAACGCTCGTGCGGAGGGACGCGCGGGTGACGGTGAGGCCGACGGAATCCCGCCGGGCCAAAACCTTAGCGGCGTGGAAAACTTGCACGTATCGGCGACTTGAAGCAGAGGCGGAACTGGGCGAACAGGGAGCGATGGCGCGCGGGGCACTGTGGGACAGAGCATGGGGGCGGGACGGAAGCCTCGTTGGGTCATACGGGGGCAACGCGGGAAGTCCGGACGCCGTAGCTGCCTGAAGAGGAGGCCTGAGCGGGAGGCGCAGGCCCCGGCCGCAGTAATGGCGGAGAGACCCGAGGACCTAAACCTGCCCAATGCCGTCATTACCAGGATCATCAAGGAGGCGGTGAGCAGCCCGGGCTAGCGGGTGGGCGGGGGGCGATGAGCAGACCGGCGGGAAGCAGGTCGCGGGCCGACAGCTTTGCTCAACCCCGCTCTTCTCACAGCTCCCGGACGGTGTCAACATCTCCAAGGAGGCCCGGAGCGCCATCTCCCGCGCCGCCAGTGTCTTCGTGCTCTACGCCACATCCTGGTGAGGCAGAGGCGGGCAGAACTAGCTACAGCATAGCTGGGACCGAGGCATAATGGAGGCGAACAGCCTCCGACTCGGAGTTCGTGGGTGGAGCCCACAAACTCCGTTAACTGTGTCCGACCTCAGTGGAAGGAGTTGCACAGCCCTCATCTTGTTTCCAGTTATTATCAGTTCGGGAGCAAAGTAAAACCACAAAGAACTCGTTCCTAGCTCTTTTGTACAGGGAAGGGGGCGCTTACCCGTGTCACACAAAAATCCATGTATCTAAGCTAGATGAATTCCGCAGCTTGTTGCTCCTTTTCTCACCGCTCTCCAAGCGCGGCAAGAGAGAGATCCGACGGCAGTTAATCTTTTTTTTTTGTCCCCCAGTGCCAACAACTTTGCAATGAAAGGGAAACGCAAGACACTGAATGCTAGTGATGTGCTCTCAGCCATGGAGGAGATGGAGTTCCAGCGGTTCGTTACCCCGTTAAAAGAAGCTCTAGAAGGTAATGATCCTATCGGTTTTCCAGCCAAGTAGAAAACCGCCCTCCTGTGTGGCCTGGTCAGTTGGCCCCGAGTCTTGCTCAGCTTGGGTCTCTTTAAGTCCAGTAAGGAAAATTGGATGTGATTCCGAAGCATTTCAGTGAGTCTCACAAACCACGGCACATCTGTTTGGATGCTGGCCAAGTTTTTTCCCCTTTTCTGCCTCTACAAAGTAGCTACTGTGGTCACTCTGTATTATTCTTACAGCACTGCCTCCTAATCCCCTCCTTCCTCCTTACAGCATACAGGAGGGAGCAGAAAGGCAAGAAAGAAGCTTCAGAGCAAAAGAAGAAGGACAAAGACAAAAAAACAGATTCGGAGGAGCAGGACAAGAGCAGGGATGAGGACAACGATGAAGACGAGGAAAGGCTGGAAGAAGAAGAACAGAATGAAGAGGATGAAGTGGACAACTGAATAGGGTGAAAGACTGGCACCTTGGAAGGTACCACCCCGAAACATGGTACTTGTTTAGGTGAAGCTTTCTGTGCTGGGCATAGTAGTCTTAGGCAGAAAAGCCTGAAAAGACCGAAATAAAAACTGACTAAAATTGTCATCAAAACCAGCACTTCCCAGACTCAGAGCATCTGAGTAGCAGAATCCTGTTTTTGCTTAATCAGTCTGAAGGTTATGACTTTTTGGCAAGAGGGATTCTGATTGGCTAATTTAATTAGTCATTTTGATTGTTTGTTTACTAATGTATATGGCCAGGCAGTTGTTTCTTTTTTTTTTTTGATTCCCAGGTCTCCCACCCCCAAAAGTAATAACTTCCATGCTGCTTGTGTTCCAGATTACAAAGGCAGTCAAGCCTCCTCATCTGCCTGTCACAGTGTACGGTATTGGGCAATACCCACTTATCACAAGTGGTCAGAATGGATTAGCTTTAGGAACCTACTTAAAGGCTGGGGAGAACAAAATCTGTTGTTGTTCTTCATGCTATTGTTAATTGCCTTGGACCCTTCTATGTGCCTATAGGCTTTTGACCTGCTGGGCTCTCTGTCCTCTGGGCACATATGCTGTTAAACCAGCAGTGTGCAATGGAACTAGTCAAGCAAGGGTACCAGTGTTACACTTTTAGAGAACAGATGGTTTTAGATACACCTCATTGCCTGCCACTGTAAGTTTTAGGATTGATTGCCACCTTCCAGAAGGTGTAAAATCCTGGCCTTCTCTTATAGTCAGTCTTTCAGACTTGACTATGAATTTTCATTGACTTGTTCGAAACTTTATTTCCTCTAGGCACAACTTTTTCTCTCTGTGCTTCTTGCTTTCTGTCTCTCCTCTGCTCCCCATTCCTACTCTCCCTCCTTCCTTTTCTCATTTCCAATCTAGGAACTTTGATAACCTCTGTAATATCCCAAAGTGCGGGTTCCTTTAATTCCTTTGTTGTAATCTTATGTGTTTTAAAAACGACTTTTCTCTGGACCTTAAGGGAAATCTGATGGTGCTCAGGAATCTAATTTCACCACACTCCTTTTTCTAGCCATCACTTTTAACTGCTTCTGAAGTATCCTGTTGACTCTTCTTGCTCTTTTTCTTTCAATTTGGTGCTCCAAGCACTTTTTTGTTTGTCTCTAAGTTGAGCACTTAGAGATTGACAGGTAGTGAAGTGTAGTTTGACACTGTTAATTTTGTTAAATGAATACAGTGAAAGGTTTGTTGATAAATGAGTGAAGAATGCTGAGAAAATTATTCTTTGTACAAATAAAGAACATTCTTGTTAAAAGTGATGACTCCTGTTTCATCCTGCTTGTTTATATGAGTGTGCTTTTGGAAAGAACTCACTAATTATGCACTGTGCAGTTTTGGGGATCCTGCATCACCCTGGATGACCAGCAGATGCTGCTTGTTCACAAGCAAGGGAGCTGCTCTTCAACCTCCTGAGCTTGGGATGGCTGGGTACCATTTACATACTAAATTCTCAACTCCAAACACTTACTGAATCTCTGCTGAGTCTGGCACTGTTCTAAATACTTTTGAGAATTAAGTCAAGCCCTATAAAGGCACACTGCTATTTACTTCCATGAGCTTAGCCACAGTGCTATATTAACTAATATATATGCTTTTTTCATATTGTAAGTTATAACAGATACAATCCCAACAGTCATTAGATCTAGTGGCTTTTTCCTTCACAGTGGAACTATTCTTTTTTTAATTCTCATAAACACCACCACTGGCTATGACTTCAAGTCCTATCTGGACTCCTGTGGCTTCTGTTGAGCTTTCCTGCCTCAGCTCTGCTAGTTTCCCCTGTGTACTGACTGCCAATGGATCCTCCTGAAATATTGCTATAACAGTCCCTCCCTGCTTGCTAGTAAGTCAAATCCATACTTGAACCTATTGTTCAAAGCCCACTTAAAGAGAACTAGCCTTACAATCTATTCTAATCTGCTGCTACTTCAATATAAAGTTCCAGGCAAAAATGAATCCTTGGGGCCTCCCCTGATAGCGCAGGAGTTGATAGCACTGGGCTGCGGAGCTGCCCGCAGCCTCTGCAGCACCAGTTCGATCCCCGGCCACCAGGGCAAGGGCCCCACATCGCGCGCAGACCTCTCCTGACTTGCCCGCTGCTCCCCTCAGCAGTGTATTTCATCAGTCTGCCTGTTCTGTACCCCGCTCTGGCTCTGGTGAGTCCTCTCACCCTCCTGCACTTCTGACTGCCCAGTGCTTGTATAGATAAATAAATCTTTAAAAAAAAAATTTTTTCTAAAAAAAAAAAAAAAGAATCCCTGAAAGAGCTCCTTCCACATGACTTTATTCCTTCCGAAACTGTGACAACTTTAAGAAAATATGCCTCTGAGAGGGGAGAGTCTAACTTTCAATTACAGAATCTTTGAAATTATCCACCAGTTTTTCCAAGCACCTCAACAATTTCTCTAGTGGTATTTGGATTTTTAACGTTCATTACTAGACTAAGGTAATGGTCCTCATCCTTTCTTGAACCACAGCCCTTCATCATGAGATTCTCATGTGGACTTACAAGAAGGAGGGTAAACATCCCTATCCATGCACAAATGGGAAACAGGCTCATTAGAGAGAAGAGACATGCTCAAGATCTAACCACTTATGAAACCCACCATCCAGTTTCAGTGGCCTGCAATTTCTATTAAGCGAAATTCCCATTTGGAGGCAAAACAAATGATTTTAGATTAAAATAAAGAATAAAGTTGTAAAGAGGTCCCATATCACCCAACTTCCCTTATGTTAATATGGGTTAACATGGTTATCTTACACAACAGTGGCACTTTTGTCAAAAAAAAATTCTATTTGTATTTCACTAACGTCCTTTTTCTATTCTAGGGTACAACAACCTGCCCCAGAGTACTATCAACACATTGCATTTGGTGAAGCAATTTTCTTTTTTTAGAGGAGATGAAATTCACAGAACATAAAATTAACCGTTTTTAGATCTGTAGTTCATTGGCACATTCTCCTGCAACCACCACCTTTATTGAAATCCAAAACATTCTAATCACTGCAAATAAACCCTATGATCAATTAAGCATACTTAATAGGCCCTGACCACAGGCCTTCACCACAACCAACCTCTGATTTTATGCTCTTTTAACAGCATTTGGCACAATGGCATATGCTGCGAGGCACTAATGTTGCAGATAAGTGTTGCAGATAAGCTTGATAAATTTTCACAAACTAAGCATGTAATACACTCAGGTGAATAAACAACATGGCCAGCACCCTAAAAAGCCCGAGTCACCGGGTCTATGGTCTCCCAGTCCCTCTCAAATCCCCATTGGTAATCACTGCCCTGACTTCTAACAGCACAGATTAATTGGCTGATTTTGTATTCCACGTCAGTGAAATCATTCAATGCGTACTCTTGATTCTGACTCCTGCTCAACATTATGTTTGAGGCTTATTCACAAGAGTAAAAGACAAACATAAAATTAATTTTTGAAGGGAGGTTAAGAAACAGGTATTTCACTGAAGGGTAAGAGAGATGGAGAAAAATTACACTAAACTATGTAACATTTAGGGGCCTCCTTGGTGGCACAAGGGGTTATGCACCGCATTACGAAGCAATCTGCAGCCTCTGCAGCACAAGTTTGATCCCCGGCCAGGGAGCAACCCACATGGCGCAGCAGACCTCTCCTGACTCGCCTGCTGCTCCCCTCAGCAGTCTATTTCCGTCAATCTGCCTGTTCCGTTTCCCACTCTGTCTCTGGTGAATCCTCACCCTCACTGGGTACCCCAGTGCTTGTATGCATAAATAAATCTTTTAAAAAAAAAAAAACTAACATTTAAAAATTTTCTACTCTTAGAGATAGATGGTGCTATTTTTAATTATCAATACATTCAGAGATGGAACTGATGCTCTGAAAGAAATACTGAGCAATGGATCTAAAGTTGGGGGTGGGGGGTGAGCAGTAATTTCCCTGGCAAGGTTAAGGAGCATGGTTAGCAAGCATTGCAGGGAAAGCCCAATGTGATATGCAACAAATTGTTTCATTATGTTCCCATTCTGTAAAATGAGGACAGAAACAGTTGTCAAAATTAGATGAGAATGTATATTGCAGGGTACTGTCCCTGACTTGAATGCAAGCACAAAATACTTCCTTTCCACCCCTTTCATTACTTGAACACAAATCAGAACTCCAGTAGCTGGGAACTATGTAGTGTTGGAGGTCCCTAGCACTAAGCCTCTGTAACTTGAAATCTAAAGAGGTATAAAACAGGTTTGGGGTGCAGATTTTGAGAAATAAAACCTGAGAGTAGGTAATAAAACCCTCTGGCATCATTTACAGTTCAAACTCAACTTTTCACTAATCCCTTTGCTAAGTAGGGTATTAATCCCCAACCCTACTTCAGCCATCCAACCCTACCAGTTCACCCAAGCCCCATAACCTCATTAGATCCTTCCTGTCCTCGCACACATTGCATGCCTTCTTCCCTCTCGCTCCGGATCTTGTGTAGCCATCATGGACAGGTCTGGTGCCCCTATCAGACTTGGGGCTTTTCTGAAACGCCTGTTTTTCACATCACACCTCCCAACCCGTGGAACATAGTAGACCCTGAATAACTGCCCTGGACTAAACCTCCTCTGAAAACTTAAAAAGCAGCCTGGAGCTGAACTCAACTTTAAAACGCTCAGTCCGCAAAATGAACTCAATTATTATGTTAGGTATTATGGTGTTGTTTTAATGTCCTTGACATCCAATTATTCTTTCAGCAATTAATCAGAGCCAAGTATGTGCTAGGCTGGGAAGAGGAGGACTCTAAAATGAACCACAGGGCAGTAATCACCTGCAAGGCAAGCTCAAGCTCACACGCAAGGCCGAGCCGCGCGGTTCCAGCTCTCCCACGTGGGCGCCTCCCTCCTTGCCCGCCAGACCAGCGAGTCCCGGGGCGGGGAGGGGCTGGACGGCCAACGCTTCGGCACACCTGATTGGCCAATCCTCATCTGTCGCGTGGGGCGGGGGCGGGGCCACTCCTGGAGCGGACTAGCCCCGCGCCCCAGAGGGGGCGTGGCCTGCAGGCTGGTGGGGCGGAGTGTGAGCCCTGGGAGAACAGCTGCTTCCGGGTGAGCCGCCCCGCCCCCACGTGGACCTGGGGCGAGCAGAGCGCACCGCAGCGGTGGCGGGAGCGGCGCTGGGAGTCGTCTGGGAGCCAGGTGAGCGGGGACCGTAGACGGCGGGCTTGGAGGGGCGGGGGAGTGTGGCTCTTCGAGTCCCTAGTCCTCAGACCCAGATTGTGCAGTGTGCCTGCAGCGCTCGTGGTGCAGCGGGGCAAAGTCCTGCGGGATCCCGGTTTGGGTTCTTAGCGCTAAGTGGACCTTCTCCAGTCGGCGTCGGAGGTTCCCGTGGCCATAGAGCCATTGAGGGTAACAGGATTCGCGGCTCGTCACTGGGGTCCACATTCTCGGAGGCCGCTGGGCAGACCCGGTGCAGAGCCCGAGGTGCCTTGCAATATCGGGGAGGGAGGTGGAACAATACAGCCGCTTTGTGCTAGGCTTGTAGTGCGTTGCATGCGTTGGCCCATTCAGTCCCTACAACAGCCCATTGAGGGCGGTGCTGGTCCCCATTTAGCAGATGAGGAGACTGAGGTTACACAGCTGGAAGATGACAGAACCAGGATTTAAGTCCTCCTTTGTCACACTCCCAAACCTACACACTTAACTATCTTGCTGCCAGCTGCAGCAGTCACCGTTCTGCCCCCTCCCTTTTCCACCCCCTTCACACAGAGTTCTCCACAAGCCCGGTTCTGCTGTAAACAGCTTTGAAATATATCTGTAAGAAAGTGTCACCCGATAATGGTAGGCACTGAGGACTGGGCTGCCGAAGATCTGGGTTCTAACCCATCAGCCTCTGACTCCATGCATGGTCTTGGGCAAGTGACTACCCATCTCTGAACCCAGTCCCACTAACATTTCAATGAAGTAATTAACAAGTTGCATTCTTCTTTTATGTCCAAATGGCTAAGCCAGCTGAGATTGGGTTCTTCAAAGCCCTAGGTCAAGGCCTGGGTCTCATTCTTTTCTTTATTCTTCTCGGTAATCCCTGTATCTAACAGGGGGGCAGGACCAGAGTAGATATTCAGGAAATGTAAGTTGAGTAAACCAGCAGCCAGTTGGTCCCTTTTCAGAACAGCCTAACAACAGCTATTCTGACCCTTCTGGGATTTTGGATTTCTCAGCCCTGGCCACCTTCTGCCTAGCTGGCCCTCCTGACTACCTCCTACTCAGCTAGTGGGAGAACCTACCACTGCTGGCAGCAGCTCGCAATCCTCTGTGCCAGAACCACAGGCTCTGGAATCCTCAGGAAAGCAGAGTTTGGGGGTTCAGGCCCTGCAGCTCTGTCAGCCCCTCCTGGAAGTAGCTCTGAAAAGGCAATTTCCCCAACTTAGGTTTCTCCAGGTTGGGAAAGTTATTTCCTAAGGAATGAGATAGCTTCGTGAGCAACCTGAAAAACCATGAATTCCTTACTGCCCCCTCTTCCATGAAGCCTTCCTTGATTCCCAGTCACAGAGCCAGCCCACAGCACCCAGTCCACTCCTCTACTCTGTGTGGTGCTTATTTCTTCACTATGTAAGCTGCTGAAAGGCAGGAATCCCACCTCAGATATCTTTTTTTTTTTTTTTAATAGAGGCATGTTTTTGTTTTTTTTTATTTATTTGTTTGTTTTGTTTTTGTTTATACATGCACTGGGTACAGTCAGAAGCGCGGGAGGGTGAGAGAATCCACCAGAGCCAGAGCAGGGAGCAGAGCAGGCAGAAGGACCGAAGTACACTGCTGCCACCTCAGATATCTTAAAAGACCCTGTGGCCCCCACAGGTTTGAGTGAAAGTTCTCCCTTCTGGGTGTGGTGAGGAAGGCCGAGCTGTGGGGACAAGCCAGGAGGTCCATTTCCAGCACATTTCTACTCTAGTAATAAAAATAGCTACGTGCTTACTGTGTGGCTGCTTGGTACCTGACACATACTTCTTTACTATCTCTAATCTTCTCCCCAACTCTGCAAGTTTGATAGTATCAGTCTCACTTTATAGATTATGAAATAAAGACTCTGAAAAGCCAATTCCCTTGCCCAGAATCTCTCTCTCTCTCTCACACACACACACACACACACACACACACACACAGAGCACAGACCAGATCTGGGACCATTTGGCCCCAAATGTTTTTTCTGTACCACTTTCCACAGGTTCTCCTGGTTCTCTAACGGCTCCCAGCTAAACTAGCCTGTCCTCATGTGAGTGGGCATTGAGGCTGGATCCCGTGGCTACTTGCTCTTGTCTTCAGTGTAGTGTCACAAAATTCAAGCTGTGGCTTGCAGGCTCCCTTGATTAGATGTGCGCTCCCAAGTGTGTGACAATCTCTCAGTCTTTGAGAGCTTTGCAAAACCTCCACCTGGATTTGGTTCTGCAAAAGATGCAGCTCTGCTGCTTAGGGGGTGTTTTTCTCGCCCCCCCCCCATGTATTTAGTAAGCACCTGTGGTAGAGGAGTGACAGGGATGTGGGTAACAGGGCACTGGACTACAAGCCAGGAGCCCCCTGGCCACACCCAGCTGTGTACCTGACTTGCTATGAGTGTCAAACAAGTCCCATCACTTCTCTGCATCCCACTTTCCACATCAAAATGAAGAGATTTAAACAGAACCTGTGATTTTAAACTTTTTAACACTAATACCCTTTTCTCAAATCAAATCTCTCTAAACCCTAAGATTTTAAAAACAGATTAAAGTGGAACTACTCTCCTGAGGCCTCACGCTCACCCTCCTCCCTTGGCCCCCACCCCCACTGCTAGAGCTCCAGGGAGCCCTACCCTGTTGCTTCTGATAAGCAGACGTTTTACTCCCTCAGCCTCCTAAAGCAGATAAGGGGTTAGGGCCAGTGGAATGCAGCTTTGGATTCCAAAAGCCAGACACTTGCTATAAAGGTTGTTCCCTGGGAAGCAAATCAAAGACAAGTAGAGCTGGACTGAGACTTGACTCTCCAGAATGGCATTGAACAAGTCCCTTATCCTCTGGAGCCTCCTTTTCCTTATCACTGAGAGAACAATTCTCTGCAATTAAATGAGATACTATAAATATATAGTATGTAGTCCAGTTCTCAGCACTTAATATACACTGTATATTATTCTCTTGTTTTCTCCTCTCCACCCCACAAGGCAAACATAGTATAGGCAGAGAGACACCTGCTAAATCAGGCTTTTAACAGTACTATGGGTACAGTAAATGAAACTCTGTACTCACTGCCTAGAATAAAGTCAAACTCAACCTCAGTAACTAGGTATGAGGTCTTGGGCAAATGACTTAACTTCTCTGAACTGGGCTAATCCCTGGCTGACCAGAGAGCTACATCTTGCACAAAAGGGGCCCTCAGGACTTTGTATCTGCTGAAGGATTGCTCAGTTGGGGCTTGGGACATCTTTAGGGAAGCCCTGGCTTGCCCCTGTGTCAGATGATGGGTCTAACCCAGGGTGTGGTACTAGGGTGGGTCCCTGTGTGGCTCCTGATAACTCCAGCCCCACCAGTGGGAGGATTGGATAAAACGGGCCTCCTGAGTTGGTTGAGAAGGAGCTAAAGGGGCCCGGGAGACTGTGGGGAAGGACATCCTCATTGTACCCAAGGACACCCCGCCTGGGAGTCACCACACCAAGATTCTAGTCCTGCTGTTTAGCCTCTGACCTGCTGTGTAACCATGGGTAAGTCCCTGACCCTCTCTGAGCCTTAAATTCCAGTCATGCAAGAAGAGATTACTGGTTCTTCCCCCCTCACCCCCACCCTTGACTATTGGATATTCCCCCAGGTACCTCCAAAAGGAAGTGTCTAAAACAGAGCTGTCCACCTCCTCTCCAAACTTGGCTCCCGGCAGCCCTCTTCCTGCCTTGTCCCTGTCTCCACTCTCCCCTGGGCCGAGCAGGCCAGAGCATCCGCCCCAGAAGACCGCCTCTTGGCTGCTTTATGGTGGCCCTTCCTTCTCCGCCCCTCTGCCCCGGCCTCTGTGCTCCTCTGCTTCCTGTCTGCTTTGCTCAGCCTGTGACTGTCTTCCTAAAGCCAGACTCCGGCCAGGCCACTCTGCTGCCTCCTGCTCAGAAATCTCCCCTGTCCTCAGCCTACACCCCTGTTCCCTCCCTACAGTCATATACCTCATTCCTCTCCTCAGGTGCTCCAAACAGTCCCTAACTTTCCCTCCTTCCCCACCCTTCCTTCCCATCCTGAGAGAATTTTCTCCCTTTTCCTCTGCCAAGCTGAGCCCACTCATCTATAAAACTGAGCTCAAGGCCCCCCGCCCCCATCTTCCTCCAGCGAGCTGCTTCTGCCAGCCTAACTCACCACCCTGGAACTCCTGGTTCTTTTATGGAGATGCTCCTCCTTTCTGACATATACTCAGCCAGCCCTGCCTTCCAGGGCTGTAGTGCCAACTCCACAAGAAGGCACCTGTGCAAATGCCCAGTGTAGCCTGGCACACAGTAGGTGCTCCAGAGACAAATGACACCCCAGCCTCCTCCTGTCTTCCTTCACACGTTTGGTATTAGAGCGGTTATGTACTGAATGTAAAGACTTCCTTTGTGCTGGGATGAAGGAGCAAAAATTAGGCCTGTGAACCCTGCCCTGGGGCACTCTGTTTACTGGGGTGAGATAAGAGGGCACTATTACCTAAGAAAGTGGTGTGTGGTCTGGGAAGGAAGAGAAGCTGCAGTGGAGAAGGGAAGGAGGGGTACCCGATAGAGAACCCCATAGAACTTGGGAGTGGGCAGGTTATGGAGAGAGCAGGAGCCTCCCAGATGGGGCCTATACTGGGAATCAGCACTGGGGAAGCACTTCAGTGGCCACTCTGGGGTTCGGGGGTGTGCATCTGGCCAGCTATGCTACTTCTACTGTATGTGGCCTGAGAAGTCAGTGTAATAAAGAGTTACCAGTGCTTTTCTCTAGGGGTAGAATTTCAGGTTTCTTTTTTTGTGCTTATCTGTACTTTTCTAGGATTTCTGCCAGGCACAAGGCCATTTTTCACAGCACCATCTAAATGGTCACGTGCTAATTTTCAATCCAGCAGAGAGTGGTTTTCAAATCAGCTGTAAATGCCTTTCAATAAAAGTCAACTACTAGAGAAATGTTACTTAAAAAACAAGAGACACACCATATAAAATGCAAGCCCAGATTTTTATATTATTAGTTTCAAAAGGCTATGGGGGCCCAGAAGGGGCAAAATGGGGGGAGGGGGTCAAAAGTTCCAAACTTCCGGTTACAAAATAGGTGAGTCATGGGGATGGACTGTTTAGTGTGGTCAATAATATTTGTAGTCAATAATATTTGAAAGCTGGGCCTACCTGGTGGCACAGGGGTTAAAAACTATGCTGTCAAGCTACCACCAGCCACCACAGCACGTGTTCAATCTCCAGCCAGCCAAGGAGCTACCCACATGGCACAGCAGACCTCACCTGTCTCCCCTGCTGCTCCCCTCAGCAGTGTTTTTCAGTAGCTCTACCTGTTCTGCTCCCCCACTCTCTCTGGTGAATCCTCTTACCCTCTGCTCCTCTAGCTCACACCCCAGTTCTTGTATGCATAAATACATAAATCTTTAAAAAATAATAATAATATTTAAGGGCCTCCCCAGTGGCGCAGTGGTTGAGCGCTGGGTTGCGAAGCTGCCCGCAGCCTCTGCAGCGCAGGTTCAATCCCCGGCCACTGGGCCAAGGTCCCACATGGTGCGTAGACCTCTCCTGCCGCCCACTGCTCCCCTCAGCAGTGTACTTCTTCAGTCTGCCTGCTCTGCTCCCTGCTCTGGCTCTGGTGAATTCTCTCACCCTCCCGTGCTTCTGACTGTACCCAGTGCTTGCATAAATAAATAAATCTTTTTTTAAATAAATAAATAAATAACTCAGTTTTTAAAAAAATAATATTTAAAAGCTGCTAAGAGAGTAGATCTTAAAAGTTCTTACAGCAGGAAAAAAAAAAGCTGTAATGCTATGAGGTGATGGATGTTAACTAGACTTGCTGTGGGGAACGTTTTGCAATATCAAATCATGGTGTTGTACACCTGAAATGAATGTAATATCATGTATCAGTTATAATTACCTCAATAAAGAGCATGTTATAAAGTGTCTGAAGGCCTGCTTACATGTCTCTGCTTTCCTGGGTGGAGGCCAGCAAGGATCCGTGCTCCACACTAGGAGTAGCAATGGAGAGAGGAAGGCAGAGTAAGGGAGGTGGTGGGGGGATGTGACTATCTCATGAGGACTGGAACCTGGACTCTCATCTTGCTTCCCACCACCCCCACAGGGCTGAGTCAGCTGCAGACCACTGAGAAGCCTTCGCTTGCTGCCAACTGGCTGCCCCGTACCCCACTATCCACCATGCAGCCCCAGTCAGTTCTGCACAGCGGCTACTTCCACCCCCTGCTTCGGTCTTGGCAGGCAGCTAGCGCCACCCTTGGTGCCTCCAACCTCATCTACCCCATCTTTGTCACGTGAGTCCTCATGAAGGGACCAGGCCTCTGGTCTGCAGGGGGTCGGCGTAGGTGTGGGTATGACCAGGCAGGTGTCTTTTGCTGGGAGTAATAAAATTGACTGCTCAGGGCGTTAGAAGTGGCCAACTGGGGCTTCCCTGGTGGTGCAGGCGGTTGAGTGCAGCACTGTGAGGCTGTCCCCAGCCTCTGCAGTGCCGGTTCAATCCCTGCTGGCCACGGAGATACCCATATGGCGGGGCAGACCTCTCCTGTCTCACCCGCTGCTCCCCTCAGCAGTGTATTTCAGTCTGCCTGTTCTGTTCCTCACTCTGTCTCGGGTGAATACTCTCACCCTCCCACACATCCCAGTTCTTGTATAAAAATAAATAAATCTTTAAAAAAAAAAAAAAAGAAGTGGCCAACTGGGCAAAGGGCAACTGTCTTAGGAACAAAACAGACCTTGAAAGAACTCAATCTCCCCATTTAGGAAATAAGACAAATCCTTGTTTGTCATCCTGAGCTGTTGGAACAGACAGCTGCTGAGGCTGTGTTCTGTAGATTATAAAGTGCTTTGGACATGTAAGAAGGGGCAACTGGACTTACTAATCACAGCAACCACTGCCACTCATTGAGTACTTACTGTGCACAGATGCTATGCTCACCACCTTTGTGTATACCTCATTTGGTCTGTACGAGGGAGGTGTGAATGTTATCCCCTAAAATGTCATCTTCAAGATGGCAGGAACTTTGATCTGTTTTGTTTATGGTTGTATCACCAGAGCCTAGAACAGTACCTGGCACATAAGTGCTGAGTAAGGATTTGTTGAGTGCACGAATCCACCCAGGAGACAGATGAAGGGCTCAAAGAGATGTTACCACTTGGCCAAAGTTACCCAGTCAGTTAAGTGGCTGGGATAGCAAGTGAAGTTCCTCTTGACTTCAGAGTCCAAGCTCTTAACAACTTGACTCCTTCCTGTGATCATTGTTCTTTTAGTACATTTGCTCTTGTCACTGTTACTCTTGTTGTTCCCATTATTATTTCAGGCCCTGGGCTTGGCCAGGCAGGGGAACCAGACCTTGGACCCCATCCTCCTCCCACGATCTCCATTTCCATATTCCTTCCCAGCTCCCCAACCATTGTCACCCCCTCACCATTGACCCTTCCCACAACTACCAGTCCATAGCCCACCCCCGGCTCTTGCAGGGATGTTCCTGAGGACATACAGCCCATTGCCAGCCTCCCAGGAGTGGCCAGGTAGGAGGCATGGTGGGGACAACAAGGGGATGAGGGAGGGAGCGATTTCACAGGTGGAGGTGCCAGGAAGCAGAAGCTGACCAGGAAGTAGATGATCTGGAGGGGCCAACCTCAGCTCAGTAGAGTTTAGGGTCAAGGATGTGCCACAACAGAAGAGGCACATAAAGAAATCAAGAATGGACTGTCCATCATCAGAGGTGCTGTAACAGAGGCTGGTGCAGAGGACTGAGCTTGATGTGGGAGTTCAGTATGAGAACTTTAGCTGAATCCATAACTCTTCTAGCTGAGGCCTTGGGCTTTCCCATCTGTGGGTGGGCACATTTCTGCCCCTCCTTGGTTCGACATACAAGTGGCTCTTAAAAAAAGGCATGGGTCGGAAGGGTTAGGGTGGTGGGGTGGGATCCCTGACCTGGGACAGGCCTTACTCCAGCCCATGCACATGCAGGTATGGTGTGAACCGGCTGGAAGAGATGCTGAGGCCCCTGATGGAGGAGGGCCTGCGCTGCGTCCTGGTCTTTGGCGTCCCCAGCAGAGTTCCCAAGGTGAAGAATCAGAGGAAGAGTTAGAAGGGAGGGAGAGGGGAGGGAGATGAGGGTGAGCTGGGGTTCTGTACTAATCCTTGCTCCAGCCTTGTGGCCACAGGTGAATAAACCTAGCACCCGAATCCAGCACCCTTAGAGGATCAGGAAGCTGAGTAGGTGTGGGTAAATCAAGGCCCAGAGCTCCAATGGGACCAGGCCCCAGGCTCTATTTCCCAGCCTGGGTCCTTTCTCTCCCTGCCACATCCTCCTGGGACATCGGCAAAAGACTGACTGGGCCCAGACCCCACTGTCTCCCTGTAGGTATCAGTGACGAGCTATCCCCCAACCCTGATTGGATAAGTCAAGTACCCTTTGCAAAGTGGGGCCATTTTTCACTGCTTCGCCATCCTGAAGCTGTGATGGTGATAAAAGGGGAGGAAAGTAGAAAGGGCTCTCAAGGCTCCATGTAACAGACACACTCCTCTGCCCATTTCCACTGCTAGGATGAGCGGGGCTCTACAGCTGACTCTGAGGACTCCCCAGCCATTGAGGCCATTCGCCTGCTTCGAAAGACCTTCCCCGGCCTTCTGGTGGCTTGCGATGTCTGCCTGTGCCCCTATACCTCCCATGGTCACTGTGGTGAGCTCCCTCCCTTCATGGCCCTGCTGCCACCTACATTTCCACTGCCCATTCCTCCCAGGATGGGACAGGCCAGAGCCAAGATGTTCCCCACAATTCAACTCTCTTCCTACAGGGATTCTGAGTGAGAACGGGTCATTCCTGGCTGAAGAGAGCCGCCAGAGGCTGGCAGAGGTGGCACTGGCCTATGCCAAGGCAGGTAAGTGAGCCACCAGCAGGGATGAGCTCCTCTGGGTTAGGGAGGTGGCAGTGTGGATGGGAGGGTCCCAGAATTCTGAAGGCCACACTCTGTGCCTCAGGATGTCAGGTGGTGGCCCCTTCGGACATGATGGACGGACGCGTGGAAGCCATCAAGGAAGCTCTGATGGCACATGGATTTGGCAACAGGGTAGGAGCCGGGAGTGCAGGTGGGCACAGGGAGGTGAGGCGGGAGCCAGGACCAGCCCTGTCCCTGTAAATGGGTCACACAAGCAAAGACAACGCTGGGTGAGACCTTTGGGGTCCGCCTCAACCTGGAGGTGTGGTCAGCTGGAGAAATCAAGGCCCTGAGCGCCAATGGGACCAGACCCCAGGCCCTATTTTCCAGCCTGGGTCCTTTCTGTCCCTGCCACATCCTCCTGGGACATCTGCAAAGGGCTGACCCCACTGTCTTCCTGCAGGTATCAGTGATGAGCTATAGCGCCAAGTTTGCTTCCTGTTTCTATGGACCTTTCCGGTGAGTGGGGACAGCCCTGGTCCATTAATCCAAAGCTAAAAGCCCTGCTTTTAAATCCCTGACCTGCTGGCCCCAAACTGAACACCACCCCCCCACACGCCTCTGCTTCCCAGGGATGCGGCTCAGTCAAGCCCAGCTTTTGGAGACCGCCGCTGCTACCAGCTGCCACCCGGAGCACGAGGCCTGGCCCTCCGCGCTGTGGTGAGTGACCAGAGCCTGGGCATCACCTGGCCTGGCCCCCCTGCTCCCCTCACCTCCAGGGCTCTGTTCACACCCTCCGTCATCCCCTAGGACCGGGATGTACGTGAGGGAGCTGACATGATCATGGTGAAGCCGGGAATGCCCTACCTGGACATCGTGCGCGAGGTCAAAAACAAGGTAAGCAGAGTGGAGACAAGGGCACTCCAGCAGATGAAAGAGGGACCTGGGACTGAGGGGCTGCAGTCTGGCCCAGAAACCACCCCGGACTTCTGTACCAGGCTCGCGGATTGCCCTTTGAGCAGCTCTGCTCCCACAGCTCAAGGTTGGGCCAGGTTACCAGCCACAGTGACTCAGGGCCTGGGGCATAAGATGGTCACACAGATTGCATCAAGAAGAAGAGACACTCCCAGAGATATGTCCCCCTTCCACCTCAACCTCTCTGCCCACCGTGGCTTCTCTGTAGCACCCAGAACTGCCCCTGGCTGTGTACCACGTTTCTGGAGAGTTTGCCATGCTGTGGCACGGAGCCCAGGCTGGGGCGTTTGATCTCAAGGCTGCCGTCCTGGAGGCCATGACTGCCTTCCGCAGAGCAGGTAAGCAGGCAGAGTGGAGTTTTTTGACCTGTGCCACAGGCACTGATAGGCACTTTGCCCAGATAGGGAATCAAAGTCATGAGACAGCCTGGAGTCTGGCGCCTGGAAACGCCAGTGATTTAAACAGACACAGGTGGAGGGAGGGACGTGGACTGCAGAACAGAGCGCACAGGCTTGCAGGGAGCAGTGCCCTCTCTTACCTTTTGATTTTGAGACCTTGGCCAAACCACTTCTCTGAACCTGTATCCTCATCTTGGTGCATGGTTGTCATGAAAATTCAATGAGATGATTGTGTGTCTGGCTTATCGCTTGATAAATGGGAGCTGCTTTTGTTGATATAGATCACAGCGTGGGAGGAGAACTGACAGCTCATCTCTTTCCCCCACTGTGCGCTTTATACTTTGGCAAAGTGGGGCCCAGAAAGAGAAGATGACTTGCCCACAGTCACACAATGTACAGAGCTAGAACTGACAAACGCAGGGCTCGAGCTTATGCTGTGATGCCCACGAGCTGTGCCTCGTTGTGGTAGGCCCCCCCCAGGCCCCCCACATCTCCCAGGTGCACCCAGAGCCGATGCCCCACCCGCTCCCCTACTTCCTTCTCTCTCAACACAGGTGCTGACATCATCATCACCTACTACACACCTCAGCTATTGCAGTGGCTAAAAGAGTGACGGAGAACATGTACAAGACCCAAGAACTAGAACTTTTCAAAGTTCCCAGGGCCTTGGAGAAGTGAAAACCAAAGTAAATGCTGCTTTTAGAATTGTGCCCTTTTGCCCTCTTCCTGCTCACATGCTGGCAGGTGCCCCCTCCAGGGCTGGTTTCTACAGCATGCCAAACCTTACCACTTGCAGCCACATCCTCATGGGCTCTCCCAGGCCTCCCCACCCCGCCCCTGGGTCAACCCTAAGACTCACCTCTGTACCAGCTTCTTCCTGCAATGTGGCTTCACCTTGAAAACCACCAGGAGTTGGGTGCAGGCTCGGTGGTCCTGGGAGAGGGGCTTGGAGCACTGGAAGAAAAAAGTTAGATATTGGATCCTAAGAAGCTCTGGAAAGCTTAGTGCTCCCAGCAACAGAGCTGGGGCTGCTGGCACTAAGCTTTGATTGACATCTGTGGTATATCGTTGAGATTTGCTGTGATGCCACACAGACAAGTGGTTGCCAGGCTACCTGAAATTGCCCATTCTACTCTGTACTGAGCCATAAACCCAAAGAAGAATTGTTCTTTAATGCAGAAATGTTGCCTGAGGATCAAATTCAGAAGCCAAGGGAGAGGTCCTGATTGTTGGAGATGCTACCACCATAAAGGCTTTTTATTGAAGAGAAATTTTTTGAGAATGTCTGCTCTGTGCCCAGGAGTGGGCTTGTTACTGAGAATACAGCAGGACAGACCTCAGCTTATGTCTCTGTGTGGAATCTATACAAAGATGATGGGGGAGGCAGCCAGCAGTAAGAACACAGACAAATAAAGCAGTTGCAAACTGTACTAGGTGCTTGGAAGGAAAGTAAGACTCCGACTAACAAGAGGAAGGGACTGCTCTTGAGAAGGTGGCTAGGAAGCCATTCCTGAGGTTGAGGGACAAAGAGAGACACTTGTAGAGAGAAGCTCCTAGAAGCTGCAAGAATGACACAAAGTGTGCAAAGATCCTGCCGTGGGAGGAGCTTGGCCAGGCTCCTGGGAACAGATAAGGAAAGTGGGCAACAGGACTGGAGGCCGGAAAGGTAAATCCTGTACCTTGTAGGAAGCTTGGATTTAGAAAGTCATCAAAGGATCTTAACCATAGTTGTGTGGGTCAATTTCCCACACAGCTGCTATGAAAAAAATGAGGGGTGAGAAAGAAAGCAGAGCGCGAGAGCCTGGCTGGGAAGCTATTGCAGACCCCAGAGAGCAGTGACACCCTGGAACAGGTTTAGCAGCGGAGAGAGGAGGATGCAAATGTATTCAGGTTATGTTCTGGAGACAATTAGCAGATTGTGTTGATGGTTTACATCTGGGGGGATGGAGGGTAAGGGGAACAAGGATGCCTTCATGGGTTTCTGGCTCGAGCAACTAGATAAGCAGTCTCAATTCATTCTTCTGAGACTGACAGAATATAATGTTCCCCCTGATGAAGGCTAAAGCCCAGCTCAGAAGGGCACAGTTTGCAAGTCCACCTGGCCCATCTGCTGAGCAACAGGGAACCCCAGCTCTAGGGTCAAAGCAAGTTCAGTGCAGACCTTAAAGCCTACAACCCATGTTACGATTTAGAGTAATCAACTCCAGCAGCAATTCTGTCAGACCAGCCCCTCCCAGCTCGTGGTAGTCTTCCTCAGAGCTGTGACCAACTCAAGATGGCATCTCATTCTGTCTTTAGCCTTTTGCAAGCTGACCAATCAAAATCAGGGCTTGCAAAGTCACAAACTTTCACTGCCAGGGAGCCTGGGTTTGAATCAACTACCTGGGGGCCTAAAGCACTAAGGATGAGCTGTTGATGGGCCTCGGACTTAGACCAGACCAGAACCGTTAGTCATCTTAGCTTCTTGGCTTCCTGGCCCCTGAGCTCACTTCTGGTGAATGTGGAAGGGAAGTTTTTCAAACATCATTCCAAACCAGTTGCCGAGCTAATATGAGGCCTAGCTCTATTCTAGGCAGAGACAAAGACACTGCCCCTTAGGTATAAGCAGTCCTTGGGCAGCAAACAACTGTGCACGAGCCCCTTACCCCACCCTGATGGTTTGAAGAATCAATAAATGCTTCCCTGAGGCACCAACATTTGAGCTAAAGCTGAAGGATAAGCAGCCAAGCCAAGACATGTTTGGGGAAGAGAATTCCAGGCAGAGGGGACAGCCGTGCAGAGGCCCTGGGGCCCAAATGAGCTGGAAGAACATAAGGCAGGTGTGGCTGGAGCGGGGAAGGACAGAGGAAGTGGTCTCCCAAACTAGAGAGAAACCAGGGCCCCACCATGCAGTAGCTTAAAGGCCGTGGCTTAAGGAAGGCAAGAGCCTTTTCCGCCTCTATTCCAAGAGAGAGCAGGGGTATGTCTCGCTGGAACTTGCATTCTATGAAACTGTTGACAGCACAGTGGCAAAGCGCAGTTGAGACATGGCCAGGTCTGGGGTGGAGGCCGTGGGACAGAGAGATGAATGGATTTACAAGGTAGAGTAGATGTGAAGTATGAACTTGGCCTGAGCTCCTGGGTGGCTGATGCGCCATTTACCGAGGTGCGGGAAGCGTGGAAGAGGATCAAAGAGGAACGGGAGTCCTCCTGTGTTTGCACTGAAGAAGTTATATCTACCACTTACATGATTTACCCAAGGCCATTCAACACATCTGTGGCAGATTTGAGTCTAGAGCCCTAGCCACCCAAAACCTTAACCCATATTAACCCATATTGCCCTCTCCCCTAACCTCTTCCCTAACCACTGTGCCATGCCAGTAGAGAATGATGGGTCTAACATGATGCTATTAGCTCCAGTAATAGGGCAGACCAAGGGGCTGGGTTGCCTTCAGGCATCGTGGGCTGTGGAAGTAGTGCCTTCTGGAGTTAGGCCTTGTCCCCCGGGGGTGCCAGCCTGATGTCCACTCCAGCCCATGTGTTTTGTCTACAAAGGCAATAATGGCGTGGCAGGCAGCTGGCAGCATTTGAGCGGCCCTGTGCATCCTGGCTCCTCCATGTCCCTGTCTCCTGCTGGTGTTTGGCCCTGGCTGATACTAATTTTATCCCTGGGCAGAGAAGTCAACTTTCACAATTGGCAAAGCATGTTATTCTGAACTTCCAGGGGTCACAGTGCATGGGTAAGCAGCATTAAGGGCCTCTCTCTATGAGACTTGACTTTCACCCCCCTCTCAGATGTGCCAGCTTGGACAGTAGCTCATCTGTTCTTTGTGGGGGCTTCCTGAAGGCCACAACAAATAGCCAACACATTCCACCATCCTCATTTTTTATTTTACTAAGATCCCTAAAACTCTAATCTCAATGGAGATGTGGTTGAGGGACCCACCAAGCAACAGGCACTTTAGCCACCACTTTACTACCACTTCTATCACTTCCCCAGCTAGGGAAGGGGAGGATCCTGACCTCTATGACCACGTGGACTCTGTCAATTCCATACCTAAGGGCCAATGACTTGTCGCACTCATTACTCTATTGTATCAGGTGCTCTTGGTTGCAAGGGACGGAAACTCTGGACACAACCAGAGCAAAAAATGGAAATGACTGGTTTTCATAACTGGATTGTGATGAGGTTAGGTATGATTGGCCCTCAGACCGAAAATTCTCGTGTAGGGCTGTGTCTTTTCCTAGCTTCACCTCTCTCTGCTTGGTTTATTCTTAGATGGGATTCTGTCACCTGACATTAACACGATCCCTACATGGTCCTTAAGACTTACGGTCCCAGGGGCCTCCCTGGTGGCGCAAGGGATTAAGACACAACCTACTAAGCTATCCACAGCCACTGCAGCACAAGTTCGATCCCTGGCCAGGGAGCTACCCACATGGCTCAGCAGTCTTCTCCTGACTTGCCGACTGCTCCCCTCAGCAGTGTATTTCAGTGTATTTCTGCCTGTTCTGTTCCCCACTCTGTCTCTGTGAATCCTCTCACCCCCACATCTCTGGCCTGACCGCAGTTCTTATATTTATAAATAAATAGATAGATAGATAGATAGATAGATAGATAGATAGATAGATAGATAGATAAATAAATAAATAAAAGACTTACAGTCCCAGAGAAAGTCAGACCCTCCCTTTCCCATCACTCAAATCTCTGGAGGTCTCTGACCCCACCCAGGTTACGTGACTGGCCTCTTGGCTCAGTGATGAAGCAATCACACACAAGGCTGGGGAGGCCTCAGCTTTTGTACCTGTGGTCCCCTTGCCTGGAATGCTTTCTCCCCAAATCTACGGCCCTTTCCTTTTTAAGATGTTGGCTTAAGTATCACTTCCTCAATGACGTCTGCCCTGACTCAGTTTAAAGTCATCTGCCCCCTCAGGATTCAGATTCAGTGGATATAACAGAAGCCCAAATAACAGTAGCTTAAGATGGAAATCTGCTTCTCAGTAAGCAGGCCAGGCTGTCAGCCACGTGGCCTGCCAGCTCTGTCATCCTCAACACATCTTGCTTCCATCTCGTGATCAAAGATGGTGAGTCCTGTCCCCACGATCAGGTCCTCTTTTCAGCCAGTAGGAAGAGGAAAGGGCAAGCGGAGGGCATGACCCATCTTTAAAGGGCACAACAGAGACGTTGCACACATCACTTTTGTCCACATTCATCAGCACTTAGTCACTGGCCACACCCCATTCTGTGACAGAGGCTGAGAAAGAGTCTAGCAGGGCAGCATGTGCTCAGCTACAACCTGGTTCAATTACTAATGAAAATGGAGAGAATGGACAAGGGAGCAAATGGCCATCCCCATCATATGGAGTTCCTTGTAGACACAGAAACGGTGGTCAGAACATCAAAGGACGAGCTCCTTAGAGGCACTCTAGTTAAGTACTCTACAGATGGAGACAGGGATTTGTCCAAATTTGTGCAAGCCAGTGACAGACCATGGCTGGGATTCGGGTCTCCTAACTTCAGAACTGGGAGAGTACAAAAGGGTAAGGGTATGAGGGTGGTTTTAGAGGGATTTTTGCTTTTTATGTATTATCTTAGCTTCAAATGAATTTTTATATCCATGTGTCATATCTAACAAAGATATATTTGTGCTATTTGTGTAAATAAAAAATGAAAATGTGGCCAGTATATATAGGAGGAAAATGTGTTATCTCCACTAGTACCAATTGTTGAAAATGTGGAGCAAATGGAAATCTCACACGATACTGACTTCAGGAAACGTTCTTGTCCCTTCTAATAAAGCTTAACATAATACCCTCTGACCTAGTGATTCTACATCTGGGTATTTACCTGAACAGAAATGTGAATATGCACATATGTTTACCAGAAGTCATACTCAGGAATGTTCACAGAGTTAACAAAAATCCAACCCGGTAAATTTGAGATCCAACTGACTCTATTCAATGATTCCTAAGTCAGGCAGTATCCCATCACGAACAAAGGCATTTCAAGGAGTTGGTACTAGATGAAAGGTTAAAGAGAGGCAAGATAAAAGGGAGTTGTAGCCTGGCTAAGTTACTATCGGTCACTTTCCTATGGGGGATAAAATGGGTCTATCAGGTGGATTATCTTGTTAGTGTGACAGGAGATTCAGGTTTCAGGGTCAACATCCCCCAGAGATGTTGAAGCTCTAATTAGATTAGGTATGAAGTCTTGATGTGCTGATACCAGGCTTTAGCACAAGTGATTCCACTTGGGGCCTGTTGTCTTTTTTTAATGACAGCAATATTTTCCTAATATTGTAATAAAACTCTAGCTAAATCAAATGCCCATCAACAGTAAAATGTGGTCTATTTAATATGACAGACTACAGTCTTGCTCCACTTAACTTAGCGATACATTCTGAGAAATGTGACCTTAAGCAATTTTGTCATTGGACTGAGTCACAGAGAACGCCTACACAAACCTAGGTGCAGTGGCCTACACACCAAGGCTTTATATAGGGACCACTGTCATACACACTGTCCGTGGTTGACAGGACATGTCATGTGGTAAATGACTATTCCAAGTGTGAGAATGAATGACCTATGACAACACACAGTACATGGATGACTCTTACAAATAAAATCAAGCAAAAGAGGCAAGACAAAAGTGTATTCTGGTCCTCCCTGGTGGCACTAAGGGTTAAGTGTCAGCACTACGAAGCTATTACCAGCCACTGCTGCAAGAGTTCGATCCCCAGCCAGGGAGCTGACCCACATGGCACATCAGACCTCTCCTGGCTCACCCGCTGCTCCCCTCAGCAGTGTATTTCAGTAAATATGCCTGTTCTGTTCCCCACTGTCGTTGGTGAGTACTCTAGCCCCCCACACCTCTGGCCTACTCCCCAGCTCTTGTATGCATAAATAAATAAATCTTTTTTAAAAAGTGTATTCCATTTATACAGAGTTTAAAAACAAACAGAAGTATGCAATGGGAAGCCGGGATAGTGATTACTCTTTCCAGGGGTAAATGACTAGAATACGAAAGGGGCTGCAGGGCCTTGCGTGTTCTTTTTGTTGGTCTGGATACTGGTTACATGGGTATGTCGATTTGTAAACGTTCAAGGACAGGTATACTTTGCACTTTTCTCTGTGATACATTTATTTATTTTTAATTAATTAATTTATTTATACAAGCACTGGGTACAGTCAAAAGCACGGGACGGTGAGAGAATTCACCAGAGCCAGAGGGGCGAGCAGAGCAGGCAGATTGATAAGGTACACTGCTGAGGGGAGAGGCAGGTGGCAGGAGAGGTCTGCTGGCCATGTGGGACCCTCCCCCAGAGGCCCAGGGATCGAACCAGCGCTGCAGAGGCTGCGGGCAGCTTCACAACCCAGCGCTCAACCACTGCGCCGCCACCGGGGAGGCCCTCTCTGTGATACATTTAAATAAATGTTAACTTTAAAAAGTAAGTAAATGAAAATTTTAAAGTAAAGACAGAGACGTGCCCAATGGGTCCAGCCAAGGTTTACTTGCTGCTTTCAGTAAGAGAATCTCAAGGGAAAGACCCTTCTGTAAGAAAATCGGTTTCTCAAGAGAAATCACTTCAGCCAGAGTCTAATATCATACACGTGGTGTTTTCAGGAGACACGATCACCAGGCCAGAGTCCACACAGGCTAGATCAAGGGAGGAAACCTTCTGGGGATTTCTGTCATCTGACTTAGGGAAGGAAGCTACTCATTAAGGTTACCTTACCATGTTTGAGCAATTCAAAGATATTTGTTTCAGAATAGTTGGGCACTTTCATGGGTTTCCTGTGACACAAAAGGTTCATCTTTCTCTGCTGAAAAAGGTACTCAGAAAAAATGAAAAGCAGAATCTTAAAGAAAAACATTAAATCAGGGCCACAAGAAGCGGGGAGCTTCACAATCACACAGATTGTAATGGAAATAATCCCTTTGTGCAATGGGTTGAAATAGTTTATGTGAGGGGATTTTTAAACCCTTGGCCTTTCAGGAGACCCAATTTTGTTCTGTTTTGTTTTTTAAAGATTTATTTTGTTATTAATTTATGCACATAAGAACTGGGTTGTAGGCCAGAGGTGCTAGGGATGAGAAGATTCACCAGAGACACAGTGGGGAGCAGAACAAGTGGGTACAGGGGTGAAACAGGAGAGATCTGCTGCACCATGGGGGTTAGCTCCTGACCAGAACGTTCTCATGCTGCAGTGGCTGGCGACTGGCCATAGCTTGATAGCACTGAGACTAACCCCTGTGCCACCAGGGAGACCATAGACCCAGTTTTCTAATCTGAAAGGAAAGGATCTTCTCAAAGAGCTTTCCCATGAGCCCTCATTAGATACTAGCATGCTATTTACATATGGAGAAACTAAGGTTCTACGGGCAAAGTGATTTATCTTATAACGTTGCCCGGACTTTGGTTGGAAGTTAGTGCTGTCTCCCCACTTTGCACATTGGAGACAGAGAAAAGAATTTAATGGTGGACTCACAGATGGCAGAACTTGGATCAGAAACTACAGGCTTGGGCTTTAAGTAACCCTGAAAAGTGGATAATCTCAGATATCCCGAGATTCTGTGAAATGCAGGTGGGTGCCCGTTCTCCCAGTCACCCTTCCCACTCCCACTTTTAGGAATCATACTTGTGACACAGCTCGTCTCACAAGGCAAGTTTTGCTGGTGAATCCCTGAAGCCAGGCTGTTCCTAGCAGGCGTGAGACCTGTGACTTGGCACTTTGTACTTTCTCCTGGGCCTGAGTCCAGTGAGGATGAAGTGACTGTTGAATGAAGTGAACAAACCAGCCTTGGAACACAGGAGGTTGTTTTGGTATTTAAAAGGTGGGGGAGGGGAGGAAGAAAGACAATAATGTTTGTTTGCATGTTTTTGTGCTCCCAGAAAAATGTCTGATAGTCAACAAAACTGAAATGAAGCAACACTGGGGAGGGAGTGGTAAGTGGGGAGGCCCTCCTTTCCTCTCTGCACCCTCCCACCCCCAAGGTGATTGCCTTTGCTCAGTAAGTAGGCCAGAGTCCCAGCACCTTGTGGCACTTCCAATTCTCACCTGGGGTACCTGAACTTCAGTTTTCACCTGGCTGCCATTCACATCACGCTCCTCCCCTAACCTCCCCATCCAGAGTGCCCTGTCACTGTTCTGAACCCATTATGTTCTATTTCCTCCGTGGCACTTATCATTATCTGAAATTTGGTTTATTTACCTGGTCTTTGTGTGTTCTTTCATGTGATGGAGGCAGGAACCCTGTTGTTTCCCACTGCATCCTCCGTGAAGGGCAAAGTCAGGCACAGGGCAGATGCTCAAGTCCTCAGTAAACCAGGTTGGTGGAAGGAGGGAGGGGGTCAAAACAGGCCAGGGACTATGGCGCTGGTTCATTGGTGATAATGGTAATGGAAGAACTATGGGGATTACAATGATGTAAGAAAAAAAATAAATCAAAAAAAGGAAAAAGGGGTCTCCCTCCCTTGTGGCGCAAGGGTTTAAGCACCATACTATGAAGGAATCTGCAGCCTCTGCAGCCATAGTTCGATCCCCAGCCAGCCAGGGAGCAACCCACACGGCAGGCAGACCTCTCCTGTGTTGCCCTCTGCTTCCCTCAGCAGCGTATTTCAGTCAGTCTGCCTGTTCTATTCCCCACTCTGTCTCTGGTGAATCCACACACACACACACACACACACACACACACATTTCTGGCCTGTACCCTGCTCTTGTATGCATAAATAAATCTTTAAAAAAAAAAAAGGAAAAAAAACAGGTTGGGGGACCCTTAACTTTTAAAGGTCTTTTTTTTTTTTTTATAGAGGCATGCTTTATTTATTTATTTATTTATTTATTTTGTTTGTTTGTTTTGTTTATACATGCACTGGGTACAGTCAGAAACGCGGGAGGGTGAGAGAATTCACCAGAGCCAGAGCGGGGAGCAGAGCAGGCAGAAGGACCGAAGTACACTGCTGAGGGGAGCAGCGGGCGGCAGGAGAGGTCTGCGCGCCATGTGGGACCCTCCTCCGGAGGCTGGGAACAGCCGGGGATCGAACCGGTACCGCAGAGGTTGCGGGCAGCTTCGCAACCGAGTGCTCAACCGCTGCGGCACCGGGGAGGCCCATTAACTTTTTACATTGTACATCTTGTATTTTTAAATCTTTCTGAGATAAGCATGGTCACTTTTTTTCACCAACAGTAAATAAAAAGGCAGCGAGGTTACAGCAGATAACTCTACGCTCATCCAGTTGTTTGGGTTAGGTAAGTTTCCAACTGAAAGCAATGCCCTCCATGTAAGGATTGTGGGGTCTGACACCAGAGAGGGTCAACACCATGCCAAGCGCACACAGCACTCAGCCGGCCAGGCCGGGACACAAATCCCCTCCTCCCAACTCAACTAGGGAACCTCCCTGGGCTGTCCATCCAAGGGAGAAGGAGGGGGATGGGAGGCCGGCCGTGCTCTGTGAGCATGTGGGGCCTTACGAAGGGGGTGCGGACGGGATAGAAAAGGCGGGTGGGGCAGAGAAGCCCTGGGAGGGCGGGTGACTTGCGCGCCGGGAGGGAGCCTGGATGGTGGGGGGCTGGGAAGGAGCAGAGGACGCCCAGAGGGCGAGGGGCGGGCCCGGGGCGGGCCCGGGGCGGGCCCGGGGCGGGCCCGGGGCGGGCCCGGGGCGGGCCCGGGGCGACCGGCGTCTGCGCGCGTCTCCCGGGGCGTGCGCCGCGGCGGCTTCCTGCGGGAGCGGCTTCCCTGGGAAGCAGGTGGGTCTGGGCCTCGGGGACGGGCGCCAAGCGTGGGAGCGCGCTGTAGCTGAGAAGGTGACCCAGGGGTGCCAGTGCTGGCCAGCGTCCCCAGAACCCTCCCCCCGCGGGCCGCACCGCGAACGGCAGCGGGAGAGATTTTGTTTTAACTGAGCGATCTGTTGGACTTTGCTACCGTCTCCCCCGCCCACCTCCTGCCCGGTCTCTGGAGGGCGGTGAGCAGTTCTGGCCTGTAACCGAGTTCCCTGCACAGGCTTCTAGAAATCGAAAACGCAGTGGGTCGGGAGCCAGGGCGGTTGTCTGAGTCCTCGTGGTGTCAGGTGCTCCCCAGGAGACTGGGCCCTCATCTACCCACCTGCCAAATGAGAGGGTCCTTAGATGGGTCTTCCTAGGTTCCAGACTGACTGAAATTCATTTCCTTGACAAACTTCCTCTTAGGCTTCTTCCCAGAGAGCCATGATCTTTCTGCAGCAACAATTGCTCCCTGAACTCTGATCCTTAGGGTTTCAGCTGGGCAGCTTGGTTGTCTGGAAACAACTCTGTCTGGGGAAAGAAGCTGCATCCAGCCTCTGGACAACAGGCTGAGGAATTTGTACACTGTTAGTAATCCTTTCCTTGACTCTCCAGTAAAAGATGAAGCTGGGCTCAAAAGCCTTGGAGACAAGTAGGACTAGGTTGCTCTGTCCTGCCTTTTGCCCTGTGTGTTGTAAGTTCACCAATGTCAGGTTTTTATTTTTTGTTTTTGTTTTTTTAATTCAAATGTGTATAAGCCGTGAGAGCACTGGCCAGAGCCCAGAAGTTTGGGTTCTAGCCTTGGCTGTGCTGCTGACTCACTGTGATCTTGGGTAAATATCAGCCCTCCGCCGCTGTCCCTGATAAACTGGGATTTGGTCAGATGGTCTGCAAGGACCCTTCTGTCTTTTGGCGTTGTGAATAGTAGAAAGAGCCATCGTTAAAATTGTTTCCTTACCTTGATCTATAAGGCCCTGCCAGATCTGGCCCCTCTCTACCTAAAGCACCTGACTCAATGCTCTGCCTCAGGACCTTTGCACTTGCAGTCCCCAGCGCCAGGAACACTTAACCACCTGTTTCCCACATAGTCGTTCTTCAGATGGCCACTGAAATTTCACGTTGGAGAAGTTCCCCAAAGACTAGATTGGGTTCTCTTGATTTCTGTCTCTCAGTACATGCTGTTTTCCTCATGCTTAAGTGACTAATTAGTTATTTGTCTTATTATCTGTATCCTCTATTCTTTAGTGTCTATAAATGTCTCAAGGGCTGGAAATCTGACCTGATCTCCAGCATCAATCATCACATAATAGGTTCTCAGATATTTATTGTGGAATGAACAGATGATCTTTTTTAGCTCAATAATCTTGTGTTTGGTGTCATAGTGCTTCTCAGATGAGGAGACAGATACCGAGTGTGATGCAGAGTGAGTTGGCAGTGCTAGAATATGAACCTTGGACTCTGACTTCAAGGCCTGAATTTCTACCTCACCTGTTGTCCCTTATCCTAGGATCTCACACTATGGAGTTGTTTCTTGGTTGCTACCAAATGTGTCTTCTGGAAACAGAAGACCTGTAGGTCCTGGAGAGGTGTTCTTGATCAGCTGGGATCTGAGGTGACCTGGTGTGGACGTGGCTCTTCCTGCAGACCCATGGCGAACCGGCTGCGGATACAGCTCCTGACGTGGGATGTAAAGGACACACTGCTCAGGCTCCGCCGCCCTGTTGGCGAGGAATATGCTGCCAAGGCCCGTGCCCACGGGCTGGAGGTGGAGGCCGAGGCCCTGGGACAAGCCTTCCGGCAGGCATACAAAACTCAAAGCCACGGCTTCCCCAACTATGGCCTGAGCCAGGGCCTAACCTCCCGCCACTGGTGGCTAGATGTGGTCATGCAGACCTTCCGCCTGGCGGGTGTTCGGGATGCCCAGGCTGTGACCCCCATTGCTGAGCAGCTGTACCAGGACTTCAGCAGCCCCTGCACCTGGCAGGTGTTGGAGGGGGCTGAGGCCACCCTGAGAGGGTGCCGCAAGCTGGGACTGAAGCTGGCAGTGGTCTCCAACTTTGACCGGCGCCTGGAGGACATCCTGGTGGGTCTTGGCCTGCGGGAGCACTTTGACTTTGTGTTGACCTCTGAGGCTGCTGGCTGCCCCAAACCAGACCCCCGCATTTTCCACAAGGCTTTGCAGCTTGCACATGTAGAACCCGAGGTGGCAGCCCATATTGGTGATAACTACCGCTGTGATTACCAGGGGGCCCGCGCGGTAGGCATGCACAGCTTCCTGGTGATTGGTCCAGGGCCTTTGGACTCTGTAGTCAAGGATTCTGTACCCCAAGAACATATCCTCCCTTCATTGCCCCATCTCTTGCCTGCCCTTGACCACCTGGCGGGCTCACCCCTCAGGATTTGAGTCCAGAGAGAGAAGTAGCTGGACCCAGCAAATGTTGGAGGCAAGGAACCCCTTCCTTCCTGAGACTTGGCCTTTGCCCCTCCCACTGTGGCCTCTACAACACTGACTATAAAGCAGTGAGTGTGGGGCTTTCCGCCCTGCCTCCACTAACCAGCTCTTGGTCTCTTAGTTGGCTCATTCACCACACCTGTCCCTTTTCTACCCCGTGTTCCCCTCACCTCCAAGAGTCACCAACGGCCCAAGTAGCATCAAACCCAGGCACTTACAACCTTTATTTTTGCAGCAGGGCCTTTGTCATGGGGGACCCCATGTGCCAAACGGGAGCAGCTTCCTGTGAAGCAGGTGGGTCAGGGCTAGGGTTGAAACAGAGCCCTAGGGTACCTCATTGTGGCCCTGGGGGCTCAAAGGTGCTTAGTTTGAAAATCAGGGTGCTAAGTTGTACTGCAGTGACATTCCTCTAGGACCACATAGTTTAAAGATTTTAGACGAGACACCTCATTTATAGTAATAAGAAATTTGACTTGCCTCCCCGGTGGCGCAGCGGTTGAGCGTTGGGTTTCAAAGCTGCCCGCAGCCTCTGCAGCGCCGGTTCGATCCCCGGCTGCTCCCCGGCCACCAGAGGAGGGTCCCACATGGCGCGCAGACCTCCCCTGCCGCCCGCTGCTCCCTTCAGCAGTGTACTTCGGTCCTTCTGCCTGCTCTGCTCCCCGCTCTGGCTCTGGTGAATTCTCTCACCCTCCCGCGCTTCTGACTGTACCCAGTGCTTGCATAAATAAATGAATAAATAATCTTTAAAAAAAAAAAAAAAAGAAATTTGACTTAGGCCTGCTGTGTATGATACATAACCCCCAGTGGTTCCTAGTGGGTGGTGTGACCCACACTTTAAAAATGAGGAATGGGGTTCAGTGTTCAAGTAGCCTGAGGTCACAGCTAATACATGAGGGAGCTGGGGTTCCTATTTAGGAATGTCTGACTCCAGAGCCCACTGACTTGACTATTAGGCTACAAGTGGATAGAGGTCTATGTCACATGAGACAGCACAGTGCCAGTCCTGGGAGGATGTAGATCTGATCTTGAGAGACCCTGCAGTCATAGGGATTAGCATGGGGGTAGAAAGGCACAGGGGACAGAAACCAGAGCTGGAGGGGCAGGAGTGTAGGGAAGTGAGAACTGCTGGAGATTGAAGAAGTAGGTTGAGTTCCATGTCTCTTCTTGCCTTTCCCTTCTTCACACACCCCTGGCACGAGACATCACAGGTGAGGACACATAGGCACGTACACAGTGTGTTCTGGTGCCAACAGCCAGGGTGTGCTCTGGAGTAGACCCTGAATGGAGGGTGCTGTTCAGACAGGCAGAACAAGAAGAGGGCATTCCTCACAGCAGGCCCAGAACCTGGACTAAAGGCTGCTGTGGGGAGCTAAGAGGGATAGTTTGGGAGGCATGACATGGGGACCTTTGGGTGCCCAGCAGAAGAGTTTGGCTTTGACCCAGGCTTGAGGGCAGAGGCAAACTTTCGAACTTGGCTACACCTCTTCTGGATCTGTCTGCCTTATGCCTGATGCCAAGGCCAAGTGACTCGACATTAATTCCCAAGTGCCAGGCAGTGAGGACACAGGTGGTGACCCGTCTCAGAAATCATCTCAGCCAAAAGGTGCCCATATGTCTGTGGACTGGATTTAATCTATCCAGTGTTTTAAGCAAATTATTGAGCACACTTAGAGGTAGGAAGGGGAGGGTTCTGCCTCCTAATCTTTGGGCCCAGGAACCTGAAGTTGAAGACAAGACTGAGCTGTGTTCCCAGAGTAAACAAAATGTGAGAGCACAGTGAGAGACTGGAAGGGGAACTGCCCATGGTGTCCAGGCTCTTAGGGACATGCATGCTGAGTTGCCACTCCCTTATTTTCTGGGAATGTGGCTGAGGGTGAGAAGACATTAGTTGCCTAGCAAATGCATGCTTAAGATCCAAGCTGGGCACTGAAGACATGCCTGCATCCAGTGCCCACCCAGTGACCAGCAAACATGGAGTTTTTAGTCTTTTAAAACCTTTAATAATGTGCATGATCCCTACGGCCGGTCTTCTTGCTCCCTCGGCTCTTTCTGACTAGGAGCCCTTGCCCCAACTCTCCACTTTGCCAGCGGGGCTGCTAGCTGGAAGCCCTCCTCAGCAGCAGCCCTCCTTCCTGTACCATGGTGGGCACAGGCGGGAGCTCAGCTGCCAATGGTTGTGTTATCGTCAGGCTACCTAGAGATAGGACCCCCATGGTTGACCTCAGGGCTAGGCAGGAACTGGGGAATGAGTCCTTTGGCCCTGAGCAGCCTGGCAGGAGTTTGAAATTCCTTCCAGGTTGTCCTTGTATTCTAGAAAAATATTTCCTCTATGTGTCCATGTCATGAAAAGGTTTGAGAAGCACTGAATTGAGATCAAAGAGCTTCAGATACAGACTTTTCTGCCAGAGAACCACTTCTACACACTGATGGACAGGAGGCTGAAAGGCAGTGTTCCTCCAGAAGACTCTATCATATGTACCCAGTAACCTGGATACCCGGTCACCATATGTCCATCGATCCCTCCATCCATCCACCCATAAGCTCACTCACCAAATACTTATTGCATACTCACTATGCACCGGGCACCATGTTGGAATGTCAGAGACAACGTAGTGAATAAGACACCATCAGAGGGGCAGGTGCACAGTGGGATTGGAAGACTAAGGCCCAGGGAGCAGCAGGTCCCCTGCCCTGGAGACACCCAATGTTTAACAACTGCACCCAGATCTGAAACAACCCCACCCCCTCTCAAGCTGCCCATTAAGCCCAGGCAACATTCAAGAAAAAGCCACGGGATAGAAATGTGGCCTGAAAGAGTGTTAGGGAGGTCGACCAAGCTCTCTGGGGCCAAAGGTCAGCGGCCAATGGAAATGGCCTGGTCTGCCACAGCAAAGACTGGGAAGAGGGGCCCAGGGAAGGACGCGTGGTGAGTGTGCAGCACGGTGCCCGAGGCTGGCTCATAGAACAGCAGCTCCTGAGCCTGCAGGTCCAGCAGCACTCCCAGTTGGGCAGGGCAGCACAGCAGCCCCAGGGGCTCGTGTTGCCCGTCATGCGAGAAACGGAATTCCTGGTCGTAGCGAGAGAAGACCCAGGAGAAGGCGTTGTGGCCCAAACGGGAGTCATTGCCAGAACCCTTTCGGGGCAGCTGACCTAAGGCCACGCCCACCTTATAGGCACAACTGTTCTGGACGTTCACTATCCAAGCATGCAGCCCGGCCTGGAAGGAGGTGGCAGCGAGGGCATTGGGCCAGTGGTCAAAGCGCTCCGGGCCATCTGCACAGGCCTTGGACTTCTTAGCATTGAAGGTCAGGGTCCTTTGATCGTCTGACAATTGCAGGAAGGGGCTGACTGTCCTCTCATCAATACGCACATCCTCAGCACCTGCCAGAAAGAATACTGAGTCTCCCTCATGCCTCACCTGGTTCTGCCAGGTAGCAAAGGACTTCCTCACCACAGTGTGACCTCAGACAAGCCATTTACTCTCTCTGAGCCTAAGTTTCCTCATCTGTAAAATAAGGGATCAAAATAGAACATCACAGGATGGATGTGAGTTTCAAATGAGATGATGCATGTAAAGTGCCTAACTTGTAAGTATTCAGAAAACTGTGGCCATGATATTAATAGTTATTAGACCAAGTCCCTCATCTCTAAACTGATAGAAACAAGGCACAGAGAGAAGTGAGTTGCCCAAGGTCACACACCCAGTTGGTTGCAAACTCAGTATTTCTGAAGCTGACATCTCACATGGATCCTCCTGAATTCTGGTTTGGCAATTCTGTGGCCTCAAGATCAAACTTGTCCTAGGGACACCGCTCCTGGATGTTAGGATGCATCAGATATGCAGTTTCTAACTGCTAGCAAGTCAGGCACTGGTATCAGAATCTAGGGTAGACAAGCTAGGGCTTGTACTAGAATTTTAAGGAAAACATTCAGGAAGAAGGGTTAAAATTGAGAAAAATATTTGATCCATTAGCCCAACCTTTCTGTGAGTCCTGAAAAGACCACAACTGGGAGTGCAGATGCTCCCACCCAGCTTGGGGGGAACCCTGCTCAGAGAGCCCCCACATTAGGTGGGAATTCTTGGAGGGAGAAGACCATGTCATACTCAACCTCTGTGGCTCTTGAATGTGGCATGGGGACAGATCTATAAGCAGCTGAGATAACGTTTGGTAATTAAGATGGATCCAAGTAGCTCAATCCTCAGCCCAGATGCTTGCCACCTGGCCATCAATTATATCTACTAAAGCAAAGGAGGCTTCCAAGAAATAATATTGAGCTGTCCCAGAATGGCCAGATCTTGAGGCCACAGACATAGGGAGGGTATTATTTAAAGGAACAGGATTTATCCTAAATCCAATCACAGCATAGGTTGGTTCAGAAACCAGAAGGACCCAGCCTCGCAGCTTCCCCAGGCCTATCCAGAGCCTTGGCTCCACTGACTAGCCTGCACCCAGTATCACTGGCTGCTTCAGCTACCATTCCAGATACCATCCCCAGTACTACCCAACAGCAAACTACAGGCAGACAGACAGACAAATGGAAGCCCCGTTTGTGCCAAGTGGTCTGGGCTCTGGCAGTTCCTAACCTGAGAGGGACCCAAGAACGGCTGTTGCCCAGAGTTGTGTCAGTAGTGGGCTCCGAATACACTTCTCATTAAAGTTCAACTTTTCCGAATCCTGGGGATCCAAAATGCCTTCTGCTTCCTCAGTCCTAAGCAGGGGAAAAAAACAGAGATTCAGAAGGCTTCTGGAAATGTATCTGAGTTCATATAGGGTGATGGGCAGAGGACCTAAAGGGGGCTTCAGCCAAAAGGGTAGGTGGGCATTCTCCCAGGAACCTTAATTCCAACAAGGGCAATTTATACAGGGTGGTGTCAGTATTAGAACTTGGAAATGGTCCACTCTGCAGGAGAAGGTGTGGAAAAGTGTTTCTCTATAAGTTAGTGGCAACACTGGGACTAGGACCAGGGAATATTGCACCCCTGTACACAGTATTTTCACTTCACCATCCTGCTCAGAGAAAACTTCACCTCCCTCCCCACTTACTGAAGTAAAAACCACTGGTTTGGTTTGGTCAGAAGGGACAGCCACTCCTCTGCTGAGGCATCTCAAGGAAGGGACAGGCTATCAGTTATCTGTCAACCATAAATTAGTCATAGCTCCTTGCTGCTAATCACGCAGTTTGCAGGGGAGATCAGGTTTTGTTGCAGGGATATGAGGAACATAAGATTCCTAGGAGGGGGCATCCCTGGTGGTGCAAGGGGTTAAGTCTCAGCACTATGAAGCTCTCAGCAACCACTGCAGCAGGAGTTCCATCCCCGGCCAGGGAGCTGACCCACATGGTGTGGCAGACCTCTCCTGTCTCGCCCACTGCTCCCCTCAGCAATGTATTTCAGTAGATCTGCCTGTTCTGCTCCCCACTCCGTCTCTCTGGTGAGTCCTCTCATCTCCCCACCCCACCCCCTGCACCTCTGGACTACATCCCTGCTCTTGTATACATAAAATAAATCTTAAAAAAAAAAAAAGATTCCTAGGAGGGGAGAATTGCCATTTATTAAGCAGCCAGGCCATGGGCTTGTTGTTTTCTATATAGAGTCTCATTTAATCTTTGCTCTAACCTGCGAGGTAGTTGTTATCCAGTTTAACAGGAAAGAAGAGAGGTCCAGAGGAAGCACTCAGCTAAATAGGGGAGGTGAATTCAAGTCCTACCACGGGGAGAGAGGAAGGGAAGGAAAAACAGAAAGGAAGAAATCTACAAAGAGCTGATGAGACGCAACAAAAACAAAGAAAATAATCCAGTCAAAAAATGGGCAGAAGAGCTAAAAAGAAATTTCTCCAAAGAGGAAATGCAAATTGCCAACAGGCATATGAAAAAATGTTCAGCATCACTTGTCATCAGAGAAATGCAAATCAAAACTACCATGAGATACCATCTTACACCAGTGAGAATGGCGCATATTGAAAAAACTAGCAACAACAAATGTTTGCTAGGGTGTGGAGAAAAAGGAACTCTTCTGCACTGTTGGTGGGAGTGCAAACTGGTCCAACCACTATGGAGAGCTGTGTGGAGATTCCTCAACCTACTAAAGATAGAGCTTCCATATGATCCAGCAATTCCACTCCTAGGTATTTACCCAAAGGACACAGAAACATTAATTCCAAAGAGCAACTGCACCCCTATGTTTATAGCAGCACTATTTACAATAGCTAAGCTTTGGAAACAACCCAAATGCCTAAAATAGATGACTGGATCAAGAAGATGTGGTATATATACACCATGGAATATTACTCAGCAATCAAAAAAGATAAACTCATGCAATTTGCAGCAACATGGATGGAGCTGGAAGGGATCATGCTCAGCGAAATAAGCCAGAAAGAAAAAGAAAAATACCGGATGGTCTCACTCATAGCAGGAATCTAGAAAACCTAAATATGGACCCGGAAAAAGAATAACTGTAAGAAAGGAAAAAATCAAAATCAACAAACAACTATAAGCCAGAGACATACTATGGGGGGGGGGAGGAAGGAGGTATTGGGGTCAAAATAAGGGGGGTGCAATTGTATGGGGAATATAAAAATAAAAAAAATAATAACAGAAAGGAAGGAAGGGAAAGGAGGAATGCAGGCTGGAGATCAGCACCGTGCAACATAACTTTTCCCTTGCCTGAAGTAAAATCCCAAAGGGTTGCAGGACAAAGTGAAGATTCACTACCACAGAGCTCTGCATGTCTCTGAACTGGGTTCTGAGGGAACTTTCCCATCACCTCTAATCTGAACTTGGCTTTGAGATCAGCAGCAGTTCTGAGAACACAACTCTCTCCAAATCTCCTAGCTTGGTCCATAGATGAAGGAGGGGAGAGCGGGTATGGCACAGGCCTCCTGAAGGATGTCAGCTTTTTGCAAGACTGTCACCAACTCCACTGGCTTGGGAAGAAGGAGGTGAACAGAGCCTTACAAAAGCTGAGAGCAGGCTTGGTAACAAAGACTCTTTATGGTCAGGACAAGAGAGGGTCTGTTGCCTCTTCTCAAAGCACCGGAGCTGGGTAGGGAGGTTTGCCAGCCCTCAGGTGGGGAGGGAAGAGGAGCTGATGTTGGCAGTGCTAAGCCATCAGCACAGGGCAAGGCTGAGGGGAATGGAAGACACTGGCATCTAGAAAAGCAACTGGTCCAGCTGCCTGGTGGTACAAAATAGAAAACGCACGAGCCCAAAGGAGTGGGAGTGAAATGGGGAGCGAGAGTGAAATGGGGCTCAGACACTGACTGCGGGGCGCCAGCTGGGACCAGCATGCCTGGTTTATCTGCAGCAGGCCAGAATGCAGCCCAGCTGTGAACATGGATCCAAAATTGAAGCCAACAAAGATATTTCTAGACAAGTGAGTTCCCAGGGAGACACGACTCAACGACTTTTGAACACAGTACTTTGAGAGTATATACTTTGGCTTAAAGGCACAAAGAACTACAAACAAATCTTGAACTGGCAGGATTGTCCGTAGTGTTTGGATTTAGCAATTTTCAAACAAGTTTGTTTGCATTGTAGGACTGAACAAGTGAAAAAGCATATGGATGTTAGGAGCCAGGTTTCTCACTGGGAAAGTTGGATTATCTTGTTGTTCCAGAAAGCAAGAAAGTACCCAAAGAATGATGGAGATTTATCACAAAAGGATATGGAGGGCCTCTCCGGTGGCGCAAGGGGTTAAACAGCACTGTGGAAGCTATTCACAGCCCCGGAGGCCAGGGAGCTGACCCATGTGGTGCAGCAGACCTCTCCTGTCTCACCCACTGCTCCCCTCAGCAGTGTATTTCAGTCAGTCTGCCTGTTCGGCTCCCCACTCTGTCTCTGGTGAATCCTCTCACCCCCCACACCTCTGGCCTGTACCCCAGTTCTTGTATGCATAAATAAATAAATCTTTAAAAAAAAAAAAAAAAGGATATGGAGCCAGTGAGAAGGGGCTCCCCTTGGCCAAATTTGGGACAGTTTGAAGATCAAACTGAATAGTATCAATAATAATTATAGTGCATTAAATAAAATTCATTGATACTCATTGATTATTCATTGATAAGAATGAATTTACAGTGACACTAAATAAATGAATTAACAATAAGCAAATAAATAAATTTGGGCAGGAGTATTCATTATTCCTACCTGAGCTACTCTTTTATTTGTTTGTTCATTCATTCAGCATCAGTGGATGCTAAAACTATTGGGTTAAATTTTGAAGATAAACAGGCTACTTAAACAGAAAGTATTTCCCAGGTTGCTTACCACTTCAGCCAAGTGATCAAAATTAAAACCCCTGATCATGGACCAAAGGGACATCTGGTGCCCCCCCAACTACAATGGACTGAGAGCACATCACTTATAAAAATTCCTGCTAAAAAATGAATAACCTGAGGGTCCCTCTGGTTGTGCAGGGGTTAAAGTCTCAGGGCTAGCAAGCTATCCACAGCCACTGAGGCAAGAGTTTAATATCCCCAGCTACATGGCACGGCAGACCTCTCCTGTCTAGCCCGCTGCTCCCCTCAGCAGTGTATTTCAGTGGATCTGCCTGTTCTGCTCCCCAGTCTGTCTCTGGTGAATCCTCTCACCCCCCACACCTCTGGCCTACACCCCAGTTCTTATATGTATAGGTAAATCTTTAGAGGAAAAAAACATAGATTGGGTCTCCCCCGGTGGCGCAGCGGTTGAGCGCTGGGCTGGGAAGCTTCCTGCAGCCTCTGCAGCGCCAGTTCGATCCCCGGCCACCAGCGAGGGTCCACAAGGCGCGACAGACCTCTCCTGCCGTGCCAACTGCTCCCCTCAGTAGTGTATTTCTTTGTCAGTCTGTCTGCTCTGCTCTCCCCTCTGGCTCTGGTGAATTCTCTCACCCTCCCACACTTCTGACTGTACTCAGTGCTTGTTTAAATAAATAAATCTTAAAAAAAAAAAACAAAAACAAAAAACATAGATAACCTGAATCTAAACATGAGATAACATCAGTTAAACCCAAATTAAGAGGTATTCTATAAAACAACTCTCCTAGACTTTTTTTTTTTTTTAAATTTTTTTTTTTAATAGAGGCATGCTTTTATTTATTTATTTGTTTGTTTGTTTTGTTTATACATGCACTGGGTACAGTCAGAGGCACGGGAGGGTGGGAGAATTCACCAGAGCCAGAGCGGGGAGCAGAGCAGGCAGAAGGACCGAAGTACACTGCTGAGGGGAGCAGCGGGCGGCAGGAGAGGTCTACGCGCCAAGCGGGACCCTCCTCCGGTGGCTGGGGAGCAGCCGGGGATCGAACCGGCGCTGCAGAGGCCGCGGGCAGCTTCACAACCCAGCGCTCAACCGCCGCGCCACCGGGGAGGCCCTCTCCTAGACTTTTTAAAAATCTTTTTTTAGAAAAACAAAAACAAAAACAAAAAAAAACCTGCTAACACTAAAGAACAATTCCAGTTTCAAAGAGAGCAGATGGAAGGGAAAGGCAGAGGACACAGGAACATTTTTAGCACAACTGGCAACATTTGAATATGAAACTGCATGTTAGATAAGAGAATTATATCAACATTGAATTTCCTGAATTTAATCACTATGCCACACAATATTAAAAAATGTCTTTGTTTTTAGGAGGTACATGCAGAAGTATTTACGTATGAAAGGTCATGCCTTCAGCAATTTACTCTCAAACAGATCAGAAAAATATAAGTCTTTAAATATACACTTGATAATTAGGAAAAGAGAGACAGAGAAAATGAGGGGGAGAGCAAATGTGGCAAAATGTTAACAGTGAAAATTTCTAGGTGAAGGTCATGATACTATTTTTGCAAGTTTTCTACAAGTTTGAAATATTTTAAAGCAAAAAATTAAAGAGCAAAACTTTTTCCAAAAATAAAATCAGCTTGATATTGAGAAATGACTTTATCAGAGAGAAGATGAGGATACAGGGGGAGGAGACTAGAAAACATGGAACGATTTTAAGAGAGAAAAGGTTAGGACCAGCCAAGAACACATTGAAAAGAGGTGGTAAAATAAATTTAGGTACCTCCATACTGTGGAATACTTCACAGACTTCCAAAAAGCAAGGTAGGTCTAAATGTACTGGCTTTGGCTTAGAAAGATTCCAAGACAGCCTGATAAGTTACAGAATAGCAAAAATAAAATGATCCCATCTGGGTTTTAAAAAAATTTTTTAAAGGGAAAAAAAGCCGACCCCACATACTCTCTTCCTGACTATAGCCAGGGACATGGACAAGACCCCCATCTATTGCTGAAACTGATCCATGGGGTTGCACATGTATTATTATTATTATTGAAATAAATACAAAAACTAATAAGAATGGACAGTGCTCCTCAATCTCACATAGAAGTTGTCAAGAATTTAATTTCTTTATCTGGCCAACTATACCCTCTTGACCACTTTCTCAGGCTGCTGGCTTGCAGTTCTTCAGGACCACCCAGGCAGGACCTGGTGAAATGCTTTTATTATTGCATTACTAAGAAGCCAATTTTAAGTGGTAAAGCAACTTAAGTTTTGAAGACTCATCAAAGAAAGAGGAAGTGAGACAGAGAAGACAGGTGGGACAAGAATCAGGTGTAGTTCCAGATCCCAACTCTGGGGCTTAAGAAGTTCCCTTCCCCTCTTGGAGTTGCAGCATTTTCCTCTGTAGGTGGCAGTGGTAAAACCCTGCCAGAGGATGACTGCACAATTTTTAATAGGATAACACTTAAGAAAGCCTGTGGCAGTCCCCTGATTAATAAGCATGTATTTCACCCGCTTTCCCTTAGAGTCTACAGCCCCAGGCTAGGGGCAGAAAACCCCTTTCCAGCAAGTGTGGCTCCAGAAAATTCACTCAGCTGCACCCCCGGGGCTTTCTCCCTGGAGCAATGGACCCACATGCACTGGACTAGGTAGAGGCCATGGCTTCCATGACTACCCAAGCAAATTAAGGGGACCCTACTCACCTCTCAAAAATCTCTTGCTCCTTCTGCTGTGAGAAGAGAAAACAGAGTCAGAGTCAGAAGAGACGAGACACCCAGCAAGCAGTCAAGACATGAATATGGTCAGCTAGTACAGAGGGCTCCATGTGGACAGAGGCTCTAGAATAAAAAAACTCTGTTTCTTCTTTCAGACCCAGCACAAAGCAATGTGGGTTCCTCCTCACAGTGCTCTCCCACTAAGCGCTGAGAATGAATCAGTCTGCCGCCCCCCACCCCGCCCCGCCACTGCCCCATGGTGTCTGGAGTGTCTCTCAACTAGACTTCAGGACAATCACATATTTACCCAGCATTCTTCCTCCATCAAGACCACCAGCCCCTAGAAGGACTGGACTCGTTCTGAACCCTCTATTATGACAACACCAGCATTCAGGACAGAAGGTGCTTCTACTAGGAGCTGTGTGACTAAGTGAATACACAATCTAGGGCAGGCAAGGAAACTGCCCTACTTGAACTGCAATGGGACGGCTCAATTGTTCCACATTCTCATTTTTTCCCTGGCATATTTACTCAGATGTCACACTGTCCCCTTAAAACTGCATATCTATATAAAATACTCTGAAAGGATATTACCAAAATAGTAATCATGGTGTCTTCCAGGTGGTAGGAGTAAAGATGAGCTCTCTATTTTTACATTGGACCCTTTGTCTGCCCTGGAGTATAGTGTTCTCTGATCTCCCCGCTCCCCCCACCCCCACTTCCTCTAACATAGCTGCTACTGCCATGCCATTCTTTCTTTCAGACATCAGGTTCTAAGTCACTTTATCCAGTAAGCCTCCCCTGACCCACCACTCCCTTCAAGCCTGGATTGTAGGGTTCCTAGCTCCCAGAGATGTCTTCTACCATAGCACATATCCCTCCATATCCTAACAATTTATGTAATCAACTCCTCCATAAAACTGGGAGTAACTGACAGTTGTATCCTATAACTCTATTTCAAAGTGCAACACTTAGCTAGCACATAGTAGGCACTGAGAATGGTTACTGGCGCAAAAAAAAAAAAATCCACATAATATTCCCCTGCCTTATCCCTGCACCAAATTATCATTTTCCACTACCGCCTACCAAGAAACATCCTAGTGTTTCCAGATTTTGGGGGAGATGGGCCAACTGGAGTGCCCACATCCATGCCTGACTTACAATCAGCTGGAGGTCATCCAGATGGGTAAGCATGTCCACCAGGCTGGTGCGGATGGTGTCGAGCTTCTGCAGCGCCTGGGACCAGTGTGCTCGCTGCGTCAGGATACTCTGGTGGGCCCGCTCCTCTTCGCCGTGCACCTGTTCCAGCAACCGCTGCTCCTCATTCTCGCACAGATTCCTCACGAGACCCAGTCGCTGGATGACCAGTTCCCGTGCTGTACTGGCCTTGCTCTGACAAAGGGTAAAGCAAGTGGTTGGGTCCTAGTCAACCGCCAGGAAAGATTATGAGGGTTTGGGCTCACTCAGGATTTTGAGGTTGATTAGCAGTGCCTGTCATTGGCATAGTTATGGAAGAAACAGTGCTTAAGTCATCCCAGCCCTAAGATTTCCTGATTATAGTTTAGGGTAAAGAAATTTGAGATCCAGGGATCTCCCTGATGTTAAGTCAGAGCACTATGAAGCTATCTGCAACTACTGCAGCACGAGTTTGAGGCCCAGCCTGGGAGCTGACCCACATGATGCAGCAGACCTCCCCTGTCTCGCCTGCTGTTCTCCTCAGCAGTGTATTTCAGTAGATCTGTCTGTTCTGCTCCCCACTCTGTCTCTGGTGAATCCGTTCACACACATCTCTGACCTACAGCCCATTTCTTGTATGCATAAATAAATAAATCTTTTTTAAAAATCACACATGTACACACACACACAAATGAGTACATGCAAAAATTTGAATATGGTGGGTATCCATTTCCTGATTATTATATTGTACCACAGTTAGACAGATCTTACCATTGTGAAAAATTGGATGAAGGGTATAGAGGATATTGCTATTTAATAATTTCTTAAATTCTATGTGAATCTACAGTATTTCTAAACTAAAAGTTAAAAAAATACATTATCATCAAGTTGGGTAGGTTTTCCTCAGGAATTCAAAGATGATTTAGCATTAGAAAAATCTATTGATGTGTTACCACATTCATTACTGCAGGAGGACAAAACATCCTTAAAACTGACAAATGGTATAAAGAATTATCAGCAAAGGTAATAAATAATGAAAAACATTAGCAATGAGAATAGAATGTCCAAAGCCTTGCCCATCAGCTGCCCACCTAGCTATGCCTATTCCCACACACTCTGCCTTCCCTTCTGACGATGAACTGCCCATGCTCTAAAGACAACCTTGTACTTGTTTACAAAACCCCACCCCCTTCACTGTACTTGACTTGCCCCTTTCTTCTGCATCAACTTTCTCCTCTTTTGGGGGCCTCCCTGGTGGCGCAAGGGGTTAAGATGTAGGACTATGAAGCCATCGCAGCCACTGCAGCATGAGTTCGAGCCCCGGCCAGGAAGGTGACCCACCTGGCACAGCAGACCTCTCCTGTCTCGCCCGCTGCTCCCCTCAGCAGTGTTTTTCAGTTGATCCGCCTGTTCTGTTCCCCACTCTGGTGAATCCTCTCACCCCCTACACCTCTGGCCTGTATCCCGGTTCTTGTATGCATACATAAATACATCTTTAAAAAAAACTTTCTACTAGAAAATTTCTATCAGCAAACAGAGTAATTTCTCCCATCTTAAAAATCAGACAAGAAAACTACTTGATAGTTCATCATTCTCCAGTATCATCCCATTTTCAGCTCCCTTTATAGCAAAGTTCCTGTGTCAACCACCCCAAATTGCTCTTTTATTCTCTCTGACACCTGTGCCAATCAGACTTCCAACCCACCACTCTTCAAAACTCTTCTCAGATTCTCCAGTGCTGTGAGTGTTATACACCCAACGGTCCATTCTCACTGCTCAGCAACAATGGACATGAGAGATCCGTCCTGCCTCTTTGAAACCTATTCTGGGACACAACACTCTTAGCTTCACTCTATCTCACTCATTGCTCCTTCTTTGGCTACTTTGTTGTTTCCTTCTATCTTCTCAATGGTTAAATGTTGAAGGGCCCCACAGCTCAGTCCTTGGACCCCTGGCCTTTCCTATCTTTACTTATTCCTAAAAGACAGGAGGCTGAAGGACCTCTAGGAGATCCATTTTCCCATCAGTAAACAGAGCTGTTCTGCCACCTACTGCATAAGATTGTCATCAAGAATGCTCAATGCAAAGTTTCTGGGTTATTTATATTCCCGGGGCTGAGCTCCAAATAATGTGATGGTAGAAGACTGCTACCAACCTGGCCCCTTACCCCAAGAAAGCAGTTTTCAAGCAGAGTCTCTGCACCCATTGTGGTATTGGCAACATCCACTCTGCCCAGATGGTAAAACCAGGGCTCAGAGAGGTAGAAAATCATCCTTCCTGGGCATCCAACTTTGCTAGTAGCACAATGAGACTATGAGTTCGGGAAGCGCCCCGAGACTGGCCCACGCCCGTAAGGCTAGTGTCTTACCCTAGAGTAGAGGGGAATGGGAGAAAATTACCTACCACTGCTCTCTGGTTCTTCCCTGGCAGGACTTCAGCCACATATTTGGTGATGCCAGCGCTCTGTAACTGCAGCCGCTCACACTGGTCCACAATCTTGTTCTGCAATACAAAGGACACTCATGGCATCTTGATCCGTGTTAGTGTATTCACTTCATTCCAATGATTTTTTTAAAGATTTATTTATTTATGCATATAAGAGCTGGGGTATAGGCCAGAGGTGTGTGTGTGGGGGGGGGGGGCGGTGCGAGGATTCACCAGAGTGGGGAACAGAACAAGCAGATTGACCAAAGTACACTGCTGAGGGGAACAGCGGGTGAGACAGGAAGAGGTCTGCTGCACCATGTGGGTTGCTTCCTGGCCGGCTGGGGATGGAACTCGTGATGCAGAGGCTGCAGACAGCTTCATAGTTTGTGTCTTAACCCCTTGTGCCACCAGGGAGGCCCATGCCAATGATTTTTTATCTCATACCTCATCTCAGCTACCCATTCCCTTGTTCATATCCAGACTTCATCATTATTGAAAACTGTATGTCTCCCAAATCTTCATTTCATCTCACACCCTACCTTCCACTTCCCAGTCTTCTAGCATGCTAACACTAGATTCTCCATTCCAACAACTCTTCAGCTCATGCCAACAAGTTAGTCTTACCACTTCTCACTGTCCATTATCCCCTTTGGAGGCCTTGCTTCCCTCTTCATTCTAAAATCCCACGCAGCTCCCTGACTCTATACCTGTGCCTGGGCATGGCTTCTCAAAATGTTCCTTCCATTATCCCCATTCATTTAACAGGACCATAGTCATCAACCTCATACCCAGAGCAAAACCCCAGGAGTTACTGTCCTACCCCACATCTAACCCATCAATCAGTCCTTTCAATCAGCCCCATCTCCAAAGTCTCTTCTGTCTTCTCCAGCCCTTGCAGGTCACTTCCACTCCTGCTATGCAACCCAGATCACCATTCTCTCTCACAGGAACCCTAACTGGGCTTCTATTCTTGACTGCCACGGTTAGCCCCTGCTACCAGATCTTGTCTTGTCCCTGCTCCTTCCAAAGTCTTTCTTATACTCCCACTGTGAGCTCAAGCATCTCACCTTAGCCAAAAAGGACCAACCTGATGTGTTGTGCCTGCCTCTCCAGTGTTATCTCCCATCACCCTCCACACTGGTCTTCTCTCTGTTTCATAGACACACCAAACTTGTCCTGACCTAGTGCCTTTGCACCTGCTTTTTCGGTCTCCAGCTATCTTCTCCTATGTCTCCCTTCCTCCCTCCATTCAAAGGTCACTAATTCAGAAGCTTTTCCTGATCATCTCCACACCCCATCCCCTTACTTTGGGGATAAGCAAGGGATGCTTATCCTTTGCACTTATTGCTTTCTGACCATATGTTATGTCTTAGCTCACTTCATTGTGTGTCTGTCCTCCCTACCACTGAAACTTGAGCACAATGACTTTGACTTGCTCTCTGTCCCACTACCTCGAAAGCAGTTCTAACATAGAGAAGGCCCTGAATTTAATTTGCTTAATGAATGAACACCCACATCTTGACCACAGGGGTTTAGCAGTTCACAGCTCCCACAGCTGTGAGAGCATTTTAGAAATGAAGACGCTGAGGCCCACAGAGAAGTGATTTGGCTAAGATATGGCCATTCCATTTCTCCAGGCAGCCTTTCCAAGCAGCAACCCTGCCACTATTTCCACTCCTAGTTCCATCTGCCAAAAGGCAATTTGGCTTCTTTTGATGTGAAGCCTTTGTAAATTATTCCCCCAAATTCGGAGACAGTTTTGCACTTCATGAGTACAAATACAAAGTTATAGAATTGAATTGACGAGGAGGAAGCTGTGATCCAGGACTTGGGGAACTGAGACTAGCTTCTGAAAAGGTACATGGGCTAGAATGCCGAAGATTTTTCCGAGTTGTTGATCTGGTGCAGTTTTTGTCCAGGTCAGTAATCATCTTAGCCTGGGGCAAAATCTCTTTGCTGGGGAGGGAGGGGGTGGAGTGGAGGAGGGAGTAGGAAGAGAGTGCAAAAACCAAAATCTTTCAAAACTGGAGGGAGAAAGGGCAAGACATACTTCATTCCAGCAAAGATGAATATGCTTAGCGCCTCTGAAGGCCATCAGGACAACACCCCAGCAGGGTACATTCCAAAAGGCCCACTACCCAGCCCCAGCTTACCCATCCACCATTCAAACTCAGCCCTGATGCCAACTTCTTGTTTAAGGGTTTCATTAAATTCTCACCGCCATTAGCATCATTTCCTCTTTCCAACCACAGAAGCAAAAAGGCGGTTTCCTCTGGTCTAGTCAATGACTCCTCTCATCCAGGCTCTTAATCTTGGAGGAGTTAACTTACTGCCCTGTTTCGGCCTAGTTTCCTCATCTGTAAAATGCAGGCAGCACTACTGCTTCAAAGATTTGTTCTGGATGGAATGAGATGATGGATATTTAAGTGCTTTGGAACTTGCAGTGTTTCTATCCATTATGCAAGTTATTGTACTACTTTCTCCATGATTATTTTCATCATCGCTATAATGGACAGTGGTGACAGGCAGACAGTTTTCAGATGTCGCTAAATAACTCAATCTCCCCCAGCCCCAGCTCCCAGTCCAGCGAGTAGGTCAAATCCCCAACAAGAGCACTCAGGCCTAACAGCTGGGCAAAACTCCAGGGAGAGGTAGGGAGAATCAAGCCCTTTAATCAAATTGCAAGGAAATCCCCAGGGGCCAAAGCTAGGTGGAAGGAGGCAGGAAGTCCCAGGGTGACCTGGCTCCAATCTCGGTAGCTCAGGGGAGGGGCGGTGACGAGTCTCAACTGGGAGAAGGGGGGTTGGGGGGGACCAAAAGTGAAGGGTTCCAGCAGCAACTTCCCGATAACTTCTCGGCCCGCTGTTTACTAGCTAAAGGGACAGTCGCGGCCAATCCTAGAAGGTAAAAAGCACCTCAACAGGAAGCTTGAAAGGTGGACAAACAGAAAAGCTTTGGGCCATCTGGCTGAGGAGTGAGGGGCTGCATTTTACCACATCAGCTTCCACCAGAGGGGCGCTGGGCACACGTCGTAGGGACAACAGCAGTAGCAAAACCAAGCTCCGTTCTCGTCCCTCTGGGGAGAGGAGACACTGAATTGTCCCCTACGTGATTAGCACGATGACTAGACAGCACTTGACCCATTCTCTTACTTACCTCACATTTCCAATAAATGCACGTGAAAACTGCGTCCCCACCCCCTCACCCCAACCCGACTCCACCCCACCCCGGCTACAGATGAGGACACTGAAGCTCAGTTACAAGACTCAGCGGGGCTAGGAAGGCGGGATTCGAACTCAAGTCTGCCTCACTCCACACCTTGCCTTGTTCCACAGCCAGTACCACTGCGGGGCCGGAATTTTGGACTGGCCTCCGGGTCCCAGGCTCCAGGATCTCGAGACGTGGTTCCCAGCGCTCCTTCTCCCCGGGGCCCCCCACCTTCCGACACCCGCGTCCGCTCACCCGTAGCTCCTCCGCGCGCTCTTCGGCCCGGCGGGTGCGGTGCCCCCGGCAGCGGCCATCCAGCCCCACGCAGGCGGCGCACACCGGGCGTCGCTCGGAGCCACAGAACCAGCTCAGAGCCTGGCCGTGCTCCGGGCAGAGGGGTCCGGGTTCGGACCCGGGTTCGGACCCGGGTTCCGGCCCCGACCCCGACCCCGACCCAAGCCTGGGCCTGGGTCCCGCCTGCGGGTCCGGCCCGGGTCCGGGCCCCATGTTCTCGGCGGACATGGCCGAGCGCCGGGCGCCGCGCGCTCCACCTGCCGCAGGTGGCTGCTGGGCGGGGCGTCCCTGACCCCGGCACCGGCCCGGCGCTCTCTGCCGAATCGGCCCCGCGCGGCGCGCCGCGCTCCACCTGCCGCAGGTGGCCGCGGGGCGGGGCCTCCATGACCCGCCCCCCGGCCGCGACCCGCGACTCGCGACTCGGAGCCGACCATTGAGCTTCCTCCAGCACCCGCCGGGCGGCTCTGCCGGCCCCCGCCCGCGCCCACGCCCTTCCCGGTCCTGCCCGCGAGCCCGCCCAGCTCGGGGTGTTTTATGTGTTTGTTTTTTTCTGAATTCCATCGCGTTTTGTTCATATTTGTTTTTATAACAAGCATAAAACAGCAAATAGTAATGTGACTGAAGGAAATTTTGATGAGCACTTATTAAGTGCCAAGGTTCTGCTAAGCGCTTGCCCTTTTTGAGAGGCAACTGAAACAAACAGTTTTAAAAGCAAGGTTCTGGTGTCAGTCTGCCAGGCTCAAATCCCTTTTAACTGCTCACTGGCTGAATCCCCTCCTGGGGCCCGCAACTGTAAAATGGAGATAATGAGAGTACATATCTCAAAGACAAGTGCTGAGGATTAAATGAGTTAAAACACCTCAATCAGCTGGAGCACAGTCAGCAGCTACTAAATGCGAAGAAAGTACTGGAGTTAAGTGACTTGCCAGGGGTCACAGTTACTAATTGGCAGCAATAAGATTGGAACATAGGCAGGTGGATTTGTGGTTGATTTATTATTTTTAAATTACACATTAAGGCCCAATGAAAATATCAGCATTGGGCTGATTTTCCCAAAGTATTTACATCCAAATTTTCTCAATTTATATTTTTTTAAAATGGTATTGAAAAAAATGCATGTTTACTGAAGAAAACAAAATATGCAAATAAGCATATGAATGAAAAACCCATCTCTAGAAAGAACCATTGCTAATAAGCACGTGAACTGTCTTGGGACCTTTTTAACTGAGATCTGATCAATGAGTCTAAGCCCACATTGTATCCTCTGCTGGGAATCCAGTCCATTCCACCTGGACAGACCAGAGAGCACTGCTCCTCTAACCCCTAATTCCATTTTAGGAATTTTTGGCAGTGGGTTGAGGAGAGAACTCAGCCAAAAGGACAAGCGACCTTAGGTGTCAGAGAATATTCTGAGTTCAGCCGAACTGGACACATATGAAAGCAAAATCCCAAAGAGAAATATCACTACATCCCACTGCATGTTGGGGCTCAGGCACCTCTACTCTGAGGTCCCTCTAAGCAACAGCTACACAAAGGGAAGAGAATGGTTCTCTTCTCTCAGGCTCAACAGCTTCAGCCCTTGGCAGGTAAGGACAGCTGACAGGACCAAGCTATTTGCAGCTCTGGGAACTTGCTCAGGTTATTTAGTCCCTCTGTGCCTCAGTTTCTTCACCTCTAAGTGGGGGTGAGAATAGTATCTCTCTCTGAAGGCTGCTTCAAGAATTAAATAGATTTTGTTGTCTGTACAGTGCTTTGCTTGGGTGTCTGGCATACATGAGGGGTGAGTAAATGTTTTTATTATATGTGTGGAGATTAGCAGAATGTAAATTGTGTGAGGTTCTTTTGGGGGGGGGTGTGGAGGAGGTACAATATTCCTAGCATCAAAAGAAGTTTCTAGTCCCTCCCAGTGTGGGGGGTTAAGTCCTCATAATGGTATTCACCCTCTTCTGGAGGTGGGGATAGAAATGGACCCACCATAATTAGAGATTGTAGCTAGAGTTTTTTTGTTCTAAGGGCTGGGGTGTGGAAGGCTATTCAACATAATGGTAACAACAAAGGAAACGTAGGGAGGTGATATTGTGTGGAGGCTAATAAGAAGAAAAACTGTGGAGGGTGGGGAAGAAGAAGGGTTAAAGTCCTTGGGGAAAATGGGGCCCTGGAGTGGCCCTCGGAGAACTGAGGTCAGGAAATTAGTTGCAACATCTCCAGAAGAGCTTCCAGGCAGAGAGATTAGAAAGTGGAAGAGGCTAAGTGGGAATGGATTTTTGGGACCATCTGTTCCACCCTCACGGGCAGAGTTGAACTGAAACCAAAGAATCAGTCCCTTCCCTAAATGTGTATCAGGGCCTGCGTGACACTTGTCTGGAGAGGCCTAGGAGTCTCAAAAACTAAGTGGTGACTCTCAAGTTTAATTAGGTTTTAGAATCACCGGGGGTGATGGGGAGTGCGTTTGTCTAAAGGCAAACTTTCCAGTGAGATTCTCATTCACGAAATATGGGGTAGAGTCAGGAATATACATTTGTAGCAGTTGCCAGTGGCTAGGAGGCAAATGCGCTCCCCACCACCACCTCACCCCCAGAAATACTGTTCTAAGGCAATGGAGAAATTAAGGAGTGGAGACCAACATCTTAAAAAATTAATAAGGGCCTCCCTGGTGGTGCAAGGGGCTAAACACCGCACTATGGAGCAATCCATAGCCTCTGCAGCACGAGTTCGATCCCTGGCCAGCCAGGAAGCTACCCACATGGCGCAGCAGACCCTGCCCACTTCGCCCGCTGCTCCCCTCAGCAGTGTATTTCAGTCAGTCTGCCTGTTCTGTTCCCCACTCTGTCTCTGGTGAATACTCTCACCTCCCACATCTCTGGCCTGTACCCCAGCTCTTGTATGCATAAATAAATAAATCTTAAAAAAATTAATAAATAAGAAAAGGAAAAAACAGAAATATAATTCACAGTAAGGTTTTTGTTTCAGTTACATATACATATATATGTGTGAGCACTCCCTACCTCCAATCTATTTCTTACTGAGAATCTTGCTGCTCTTAGGCAATCTGGGGAGTGGGGAAGGTTGTACTTGAACTTAAGGGCTTGTCTAGATAGGACACCCTGAGCTGGGAACAGAGAAGAATGGATACCTTCCTTACATTTCAGTCATTTAACAGATTTATTTGGCACCTACCTGTGTGCCACAGGGTATTTAAGACACCGAGGATACAATGAAAAACCAAGTCTACTCTCTTGGATTAAAAAAAGCAAATGGATATGTAATATTGCATAACAAAAATCCAATTGAATTAATGTTAAAGATCTAAATTGGTTTTATTAAACAACTTAGGATTGGGCAGCTTTCCATCTAGCAGGTAGAAAGACCTTACAAAGAGTTCTACAAAACAGGTTTTTATCAACAGAAAAGAGGGTAGTACAAGGAAAGAAAGATTATTTCAGGCAAAGCCACGTCCCCTTAGGGAAAGTAGAGGGATCTTATCATGCAAATTGCGTCACTAGTTCTGACCAGGGAATTCCAGATAGATGTAAAATTCCACCTCTGAGAAAGGCTGAAGTACAATGAAATTAGATATTCAATCTTTTTTTTTAAGATTTATTTTTATTTATTTATGTATACAAGAACTGGGGTGTAGGCCAGAGGTGTTGCGGGTGAAAGGATTCACCAGAGACAGAGTGGGGAGCAGAACAGGCAAATCTACTGAAATACATTTCTGAGGGGTCCAGGAGGCAAGACAGGAGACATCTGCTCTGCCATGGGTGGTTAGTTCCCTGGCAGGGGATCAAACTCAAGCTGAAGTGGCTGGTGGTAGCTTGATAGCACTGAGACTTTAACTCCTGCGCCACCAGGGAGGCCCAGGTATTAAATCTTAGTGGGGCTTGGTATGAATGACCCCATTTGAAATCTGTTGTTTCTCTCTCTTTTTTTTTTTTTTAACAGTAATATAATATTGGTAAGTGATAAGAACTAGGGTTTTAAAAAATTAATTAATTTATTTTCTTACATCATTGTTCATTTTTGTACAGTATTTGATTTCTCCCCTCAGGTATATTCCCCATAGTTCTCCCACCACCTTAGTAGCTTTGATTCATCACCATAGTCCCCTGTGCTCTTCCCTCCCCTGTTTTGACCTTTTTCCTTCCCCTCCCCTGCTGTTTGCCTCAGTTTGCAAGTTTTGTCTTTTTCTAATCCATGTTCTGTTTCCCTATATTCAACCTATAAGTGAGACCATTTGCTATTTCTCTCTTTTTCCTTCTGACTTATTTTGCTTAGCATAATCTCTTCCAGTTCCATCCATATTGATGCAAATGGCATGAGTTTATCTTTTTTGATTGCTGGGTGGTATTCCACTATGTATGTGTACCACATCTTCTTGACCCATTCATCTATTTTGGGACATTTAGGTTGTTTCCATATCTTAGCTAGTGGATCCATTTTTAGTGTTTTGAGGAACCTCCACACAGCTTCCCATAGTGGTCTGACCAGTTTGCATTCCTACCAGCAGTCTAAGAGGGGGTGATAAGTGCTGTGAAAAAGAAATATTCAAGCATTATAGGAAAGAGACCTTGATGGAGGTGCTGACCTAGAAAGGATGACATATGTGACCTCTCTAGTAATGGCACTAGAATTTTGCCCTGAAATCCACACAGCCACTCTACACCTTTTTTTAAAAAAGATTTATTTATTTATGTATACTAGAACTGGGGTACAGGCCAGAGATGCGGGGGTTGAGAGGATTCACCAGAGACTGAGTGGGAAACAGAGCAGGCTGACTGAAGTACACTGCTGAGGGGAACAGCAGGCGAGTCAGGAGAGGTCTGCTGTGCCATGTGGGTCAGCTCCCTGGGTGGGGATCCAACTCGTGCTGCATTGGCTGGTGATAGCTTCATAGGTTGTGTCTTAACCCCTTGCACCCCTGGGAGACACCCCCCCACCACCACCTTTTAACTGGTGAATTCAAGCCATTTACATTTATGGTGATTATTAAGATATAAGCGCTTATTTCTATTCTTTCTTTTTTTAAAGATTTATTTATTTTTGCATACAAGAGCTGGGGTACAGGCCAGAAATGCGGGGGTGAGAGGATTCACCAGAGACAGAGTCAGGAACAGAACAGGCAGATTGACTGAAGTACACTGCTGAGGGAAGCAGCAGGTGAGTCAGGAGAGGTCTGCTGCACAATGTGGGTTGCTCCCTGGCCGGCTGGGGATCGAACATGTGCTGCA